CTGCACCATCGGACTACTACCTATTCAGGTCGCTGGATAACTTCATGTGCAAGAAGCAGTTCCCGAACGAAGGTGCACACAAAAACCCACTTGATGATTTCTTTGGCTCATGGGATGCGGTGCTTTGGGAGAGAGGAATCGATTCTCTTAAGGAAAGATGGGAAAAAGTTATAGATTGTGAGGGAGATTATTTTGATTGATGAAGTTTGTTGTATAAAAAGTTACAGCGTACCAAAGAAATGGGCCGAAAAGTTCCGGATATTCTTTCCCAGACCTAAAATGTATCTGGCCACACACATGGATTAGGATTAGGATGAGATGAGGGCCGGCGGCCTTCACCTCTGCCGTTCTTTTCTCACTCCAATCTCCTTGGTCGTTTCAGAAACCCTCAAAAATTGCTTTCAATTAAATCTTTTCAGAGGAAAATCATAAATGGTTCCGATTGCTTTCAAACTCGGATGCGATCGTTTCAAATCCTTCTTTCGTCTCGGAATAAACTGGTTTCCTCGTAAAATTCAAAACAATATCCAGGGTAAAAAAAAAAATAAATTTCTTTTACAAATAGGAGTTATCGGTTTAGTCTGATTATGGTTTCTTGGAGAAGCCTTTTGTAAATGCGATTTGTGAAAAAGAAATCCAGTTCTGGTGGTGGTGCAGGTCAGACGTGAAGATGCTCAAGATTCAGAGAGGCCTTTCATTCATTTTCCGCAAGTCTGCTTCTCTGCTCCCGGAGAGGGAAATTTACCAAACGGATGCAGGAAAGAAAGTTTCAAGATGGCCATTCTTCAACACATGACGCGGTAAACGAAGACTGTTGGGATTTGTCATCCTGATTTTTCCAGGGTTTCCCTCATAACTTTGAAGACAAACTTCTTGAGTCCTAAATGCACATTTATGAGCGGTCACAAGAGCCATCTGATGCGTAAACCGTACATGGTCGGTCCCGGAAAAGTTTATGGTGCCGCACGAGAATGGGAATTCTTCCCCTAAAGAAACCTAGCTGCTTGGCACTCGCCACAAATCTCATGCCTTTACCCCTTGAACACACTAGAAAATGAATCTTAGCGCACCCGATACACCGACTTTTCTGACAATATTCATGATTTATTTTACAAAGCGTTATTTGACATAATGTTTATTATTTATTATTTTGTGGCTACTTCAGCTCTTAGCTCTACAAGCTTTTGTGGTATTTCTGGAAGCAATTCTTCATGTGTAGGCCCACTTCGCACTGCTGGCACTGGTAGAACTGCCATCTCTGCCGTTGCGTCACCACGCCCGTCATCGCTGTCACCGGAGTCACCAGAATCATTTTCTGAGTGTCCGCTAACATCACTTCTCGAAGAGTCAAGTTCCGTACTTGAAGACTCATTCAGAATTACTCGACTCATATTCAAGGTCAAAATCGCTCTCACACAATAAATTACTGACCAAACTTTCTTCAACACCACGTTTTCCCTTCCTGAGCGACGCATGACTGCTTATGGGGAGAGTGCACCAGACAGGATACTTTTTCTGCCGAAAAAAGCGAGCTTTAACCGGATGGCTGTACTGGTACGATATCTGCTAAATATCAGAGAAACCAAGCCATCGTGCAGATGTCACAGCGAGAGTGGTCGCAGCGGGAAATTTCGAAATTCGCATGACGCACCCGTATGCGTCATGTGTGTATCAGGGATGGACCTGGCCCATGACGCATATGGGTGTGTCATGTGTGTTCAAGGGGTTAATACCTCATTCATTGCCCCCACCCCATGGTAGTTTTATTCCAGAGAAGGAAATAGGTTGAGGCATTTGTGCTTGTATATATGATTGAGGAAGACACTTCTTTGTGGAAGACACTCAATGCATCTCTTCTTACAATACACTCGCAAGCCATGATTTTACGTACCATTATGTTCATCTGGCCAACTGAGAGGCAAACAGATTCTGCTCACATTCACTATGCACTTTATTATTTCTGAATAAATTTCCCAGAAGATGAACAGTTGGAGACATTCATGGAAAGAGAACCAAACGTAACCGAAATCGGTCCTACTGATGGTTAGTGACAAGGAAAATAATGAAAGGACATAAATGACAAAAATATTGGCTCCGTCTTCACACGGTTCACATTTTTTCTTTTGTTGCAATTGATTTTGCACTCCAGGCACTTGCTTGGTTTTGGTTACTGAGAAAGAACAACAATCTGGGAATGTGCAGTTGCTCATCATGTTTCAAAAACCACACAACATGCAAAGTCACAACAATGACTTTGCTTGATCTTCATATGCTACAAAAATAATTAAAGAAAAAATATATAATACAAATTCACCTCTAAAAAAAACAATCAGGACACAATCATCATTGTTTCTAAGGCAGGGAAAAAATTTCCACCAAAATAGATAGCATATATACTTTGATCTCCTTTCTTGCAAGCAGAAAAAGAAAAAGATGATACTTTTAAACAAGTGAGGAGGGAAAAACTCAAAGAAATGTGAAAGGGAAGCCCAGTAATGTAACCTAAGGACATATTGCAGCTGGAGTGGCAACAATAATTTACACACACAAGAGGGATGGGAATGATGATATAGGATGAGACTTATTGGGAGAAAAATTAAAGAGATAAAAAAAAAAAGGCATGGCAAACTCAATCATGACTGGCAAATGGGAGACATAGAGAAGGGGATGTGTTCCCACCTACTTGGGGGACACTTCCTCTTCTCCATCAACAGAATCATCTTGGTTGGTGGAAATGGAGTCTTCCCCTCCAGGTGGAATACTCCCACGCTTTGATGTCGCCAACAACCGAGACCCCTGAAGTGCTCCTCCCCTCCTGTTACATACATTAGAAAATCAATGTTGAAAGATTCACTAGTGTTTGGAGTGCACCAAAAGATTACATTTTTAAAGTATCACTCATGACAAATGAAATTTATTTAAATATTATTCCCATGTGAATATCTTAAAGATTGAGAATTGACAAGTTAGCAACTACCACATCAGAAAGTTTTTCACCAAGTAGAAAGAGTGCAAAGGAAGTGGATAAGCAAGCAAACAAACAAGCAAGCAAGCAAGCAATGCACTAGTGGCATAGAAACTTAACGTATGCAAACATAATAGTTTTCTGGCAGGTATGAGTGCAATGGAAGAAGCCAGGAAAGAACCTGGAAGTGGATACCTCGTGGTCTTCAGCAGTTGAGCAAGTTCCAAGTTTTGTGCTTGAGCGCTGGAAGCAGGCCACGAGCAGAAAGGAAGAAGTCAAGGAAAGAGAAAAAAGGTCAAGAAAGGTCATTTTGTACTCACTTGTCCCTGAGAAAGGAGCACGGAAAGAGGACCAGGAAGCAAAGAGAAAGAGGGGCATCAGATACGAAAGCAAAAGCAGTGCGATTCCAAAGGGGAGGGAGTCTGAAAGCATTCTGATATTGGGAATATTACCTGAGTTTGCTCTTGAGGTTGGTGATCTCCCGCTGCTGGGATTCGTTTACCTCCAGCTGGTCTTCAAGTTCTCGCTGGGCTTTGCGGCGCTGTGCCTTCTCGCGACTCACCTCCTCCTCGTGTTCTTCAATCTGGCGCTTGAGGCTCTTCACTCTTCCATGTGCCTACATAAAAATCCAACCATCAAACTCATAATCAAACTCCCTGCAACAGTTCTAAAATGTCACAGAAGATGAACCTTCTCCACTTGTTCCTTGTACTGATCACCATGCCGCCGCTCGTCCTCCAACTGCATCATCAGCTCCTTTAACTTCTTCTCCAGTTTCCGGTTGGATTTGGACAGGGTCTGCCTCTCCCTACGAAATTCAAGGCTTTGATATCACATGACAAAAACACATGCACAAATAATGTAACAGTAGATGAAATATTTAAAAAATACAGGCAAAGTGCAATAGAAGAAATACCTTAAACTGAGGTAAAATATGAATTGGGGGAAAATTAGAAAATTGTTATATTTTCCCCCCCAAGTTTTCACCAAAGCTGAAGGATATAATCAAGCAACTTCAGAGCACAAAAGCATTCCCACTTTTGGGATCAAATACATAGGGTACTTTAAGTTTAGGTCTTGGTGTAAGAGTGGAGTCTCAGGCTAAGAATTTCTAAAAGATTGGGAGATGTCCACGTTTCAAGTACTACTTGTTGAAGTTGTGTTCAAGTGCTGGTCAGTCAATTTGCCAGACAGTAAAGTTATTGGTCCTCCATCTGCAAGTCATCAGAAACATACAAGAATCACGAAGTTACCAGACAGCAAGTTTGCTTGAATGTTTGCATAAAATTTTGGCACAGCACATGTAACAACTTCCACCGTCTCTGCTAATAAGCTCTCTTTCACTCTTTTTCATGCAAGACACACAATAATATTTCACAAAAGAGTGCTGAAGCTCACAGCTCTATAAAAAAAAATAAAAATTTGCCTGCATAATTTTTTCCTGGGAAAAATTTAGCAGACTCATTATGATTTACAGAGACTTTTTTATTTGGAATGTCTCTTTTTAGTCAAGGGCAGAAACTTCAAGTTCTACTATTTCTATAACTGTTAACAATACTTATTAATAATTTCATAGTTATATGGCAAGAATTTCACAAAATAGCATGGGCAACCAGCCAGAAATCACAAGAACCTCTCTGAAATTTCCATGGTATGAAGTTGAATCCCTGATTGAATTCAACACAATCCCTGAAGTTAAACACTTAAAATCAGTGTATGAGAGGCACTAAAAAGTTATTGGCAAACGGCATTAACCCTTTGACTACCCAATTTTATAAAGGCATTAAGAGGAAATTTTACCAATTTTTTTCATATTGTGCTAAAAGGTGCAATGTTGCACTGGTTTATTAATTAAAAAAATCATGCAATCAATCTAATATATTAGGTCTGGGAAAAAGTATCCAGAACTTTTCGACTCATATCTTTGACCCCCTGTAACTTTTCATGCAACAAACATCATCAATCAAAATAATCTCCCTCACAATCTATAACTTTTTCCTATCTTTCCTTAAGAGAATCGATTCCTCTCTCCCAAAGCACCGTATCCCGTGAGCCAAAGAATCCATCAAGTGCGTTTTTGAGTGCACCTTCGTTCGGGAACTGCTTCTTCTTGCACATGAAGTTGTCCAGCGACCTGAATAGGTAGTAGTCTGATGGTGCAACGTCCGGTGAATACGGTGGATGCGGCAGAACTTGCCAGTCGAGGTCCTTCAATTTTTGCTTGGTCTTTTTGGCGACGCGTGGTCTTGCGTTGTCGTGCAAGAAGAGGACCTTTTNGGGGTTCGTGCTGCACCACCTAAGCTTGTTCTGTGGCTATGTTATATATGAAAAGAAAGACGCTGAAAAGCTCTGTAAAATGTTGTATATCTGCCAAACATCGGGTCTTCCTTGTGATGTGACAGCAAAGATGAGCAAATGGTCGCTCTTTGAATCTTCCCAGTTTCGGACAACTTGTGAGGGACTCATTTGTCCAATCACCTTTCCCATGGTGTGCAGGTGATTGGACACGGTTGTATGGTCGCAGCTGAGTTTGCTCGCCAGTTCAGACGTGGTTTGGTGCGGATCATCTTCAATCGTGGACTTTAGCGCATCGTCATCGATGACGGATGGACGTCCAGAACGGAGTTCATCTTGAAGAGTTTGATCTCCACGTGAAAACTTCTCAAACCATTCGTATGCTGTGGATTTGCTTAAACAGGCATCGGGGGTACACCTTCTCTATGCGACGGACCGCGTCGTTCGCGTTGCGCCCCTTATCGAACTGAAGAAGTAAGCAATGACAGATGTGGTAGTCGAGCTGCATTTTTCAATCAAGTGGGAAAACTTTTGCCTGAAAGCTATACATGGCAGATATACAACATTTTACAGAGCTTTTCAGCGTCTTTCTTTTCATATATAACATAGCCACAGAACAAGCTTAGGTGGTGCAGCACGAACCCCTCATGCTTAACCAACAAAAAGTTTTGGATACTTTTTCCCAAACCTAATAATAAAACTGTGGGCTGTCATGATGATATATGGAATACTTGAACAGCATTGGGAAGGCTGTCATGATGGCTCACAGAGCAGTAAGAGAGCTAAATATCCCCTGACCCTAATGAAATCTTTAGTTGTTGTTCTTCAGGGGTTCAAAAAGATTCTGTGATTTTCTTAAATTTTCTGACCAAATGGTAATGTGTAGCTAAGGCCCCAAGGCAGATGACCTTGACCAAATGAGATATGAAAGATTTTAGCTCAAAGGACAAGCCTTGTGAAGGTCATCAAACTTCAATAAGTGATGAAACAAATGTGGCTGAAGTGAAGGCCATAATTGATATATGACATGTCGTCATAGTGGGAACCCTTGGGATTGGAGTGCCAACAGTTAAAAATGTTCTGCATGAAAATGTTGGGGTGCAGACATTTTGTTCTTAATTCTGTTCCCCATGCCCTAAAAAAAAAAATTGATAAAACAAAATTGGCTTGAGTCAATTTCTGTCAAGAAATGATGCAGAAATTCAACAAAGGAACTTAGAACCTGATGTGGTGATGGCAAGATCACCGAGGGATGATTTTATCTCTTCAAAACACTGTTTCACAGGTAGGCACCTTCAGAAACCATACCAAACCAGCACTCATAGACCTCTCTGGGTCAAGGTAATCTGTCATGGGGGGGTGACCTCTTATGGCCAGATGCTATGCATCACCATATTGCAAAATTTTTTTCAAAAAATCACTGAATCTTATTGAATACCTGAAAAGTAATACCAACATTTTAAATTAGAATTAGAGGACATTTCAAGGCATTTGGCAAGAACTTTTGTAGTGCCCATTGTATTACCTGGTTGCCCCCCTTTCCTCATCTATTTCATGCCTTAACTGCATTGGGAACCCATGAATTGATGAAGGGAACTGAGTCTTGTAGTAGGTACATTAAACTGCTGATTCAACTTCTGACTAGCCTACTGCAAAAACAATTAAAAGTTTCTGTAAATCTGAATGTGAAAATTTGAAGCCTGTGTTCTGGATGTGATGCCTGCCCGAATCAAGTAGGTATACCCTATCCATGTACTGAAACTAAAAAACGTCTATTGCTGTATCTACCTCACGTTCTATCTTAAATAAATAGAATAAAAAAACTGACAAATATAATTAATTCTGATTAATTTCCTTTGCATTCCATTTAGAGCAAGAAATAATGAGCCTACTTGGCTTCAGTCTCAAGTTGTTCTTCCTGCTGAGCGATTTTTGCCTCAAGAGCTTGGAGCTGAACCTTCATGCGTGTCCTCTGTGTGGTTTCTGCCTCTGACAATTTGGCACGCAGCTCCTTGTTTTGCCTTTCCAGGAGGAGTTTGGCACTCTCCAGTTTCTGTGTGTTGGACCGCTCCGCTGCCAAATCTACCAACAATCATTGTGAACTTCAACTCTGAGATGCTTGCAATAGGGAGATACATAATTTGAGGGGGAACAGACCAGTTGTGAGCTGTTCAATCTGAAGTTGAGCCTTCCTGCACCGGTCCATTTGAATTTCTGAGTTGCTCTGCTCCTCTTCCAGTTCCTCTTCCAGTGTCTGGATGCGTGTCTCCAGTCGACGTTTTTCATCTATCAAGAAGGACCTACAAGACCAATGTAAGTTTACACTTTCCATTCTGTGAATTGTTGCTTTGCTGAAGCTCAATTGACTTGACTTTCAAGAAACATCGGAAAATGCTTATATTTGTAAAGCATTAAAATAGATTGAATAAAGTATGTAAAAGAGAGCTGTCAAGAGCAGTTTCGAGTAAATTTTCTTAATAAATAAAAGGAAGGACTCCAAGCCCAACCATGGTTCTGCAAAACCAAACCCAATCAAGCTTTACTCTTCCCAGCTCTAAAATAGGGAAAAAAGAAAATTAATAACAAAGGCAAGCTAATAAATCCAGAAATAGGGAAAGATGAAAGAATTTGTAAAATTCCTTGTCAATATAGAAGTCAGTAACTTATAAACTTCAAAACCAACTATTAGCAATGGAAATTAACTATCTACAGTGACTGAGCAAGATTATCCTTACCCTTTGCTGGCATTGCTATTGATTTCCTCTTGGAGCTCATCCCGCTCATTCTCTGCAGTACGGCGGGCACGCTCTGCAGAGGCTAGGTCCTCTTGTAGCTGGAGGTTCTCTGCCTCCAGAGACTTAATCTTTTTCTCAATATCCTTCAGCTGGGCAAGGAGCTCTTCCTTGGCCTGGCGTGATTCTTCAGCATCCCGCTGATAGTCCTTGATTTGAGCTTGGAACTTCTTCAGTTGACGGAGGGCATCTTCTTTCATTTTACTATTGAGCTCCATCTGCTGCTCCAGATCCTTGTAGTCATTCTCCAGTTTCTTTCTCGCATTCACTGCCGCTGCCCGTTGCTTCCGTTCATCTTCCAACTCCTCTTCTGTCTCTCTCAGTTGCTTCTGAAGTGCCCGCCTCTTTTCTTCTGCCTGCTCTTCACGAGCCTTCAAGAGTACAGCAAACAAACTTGTGAGAAGGCATAAGTCTTACAGTCATAGATGTAATTACAATTTCAGTTACCCAGCTCTTGAAATAAAAAAATTGTGCTTGTTACAGCTCATGTATGAATGAATGTATAGCACCTATCTCCTATTGCTGCTGATGTATCAATATATGAATTTTGCTAGATAAAAAGAGGTCTCTCAAAAGAGTTCACTGAATAATTATATCATCTTATGTTTCCCTCCAGTGCTTCCAAGGCTGGGAAATACTACCAACAAAACCTTCAAAACATGAAAACAGATGCAGAAGGCACATTTAAATGCTATTTCTGCTCTTTTAGCCTTGCTTCATTGCAATCAGGTTCTCTGCCATAAACACAAACTAAATCCATGTTTTCTGGAGAGATGAGCCCCACTGAGAAGAGCAGAAAATCATAGGGATTGAGGTTTTTTGTTTTTTGGCTTTTGTTATAACCATGCTTGTTATACTGAAAGTCAACTGTACCTCTTTCAATTAGAGCTTGGTACTGACTTCGCTTGTTTTACTAATTAGCCCCTTTAGACTTGGTGTACATACCCATGTACATTAACTTAAATTTTTTTTTTCATTAAATGACAGAGACCATTTGTACATCTGTATGTACATTCAACACTTCATTGACTATTGCATTTAAAAACTTGGAAAACCCCTTAAATGACTTCTTTTCACATCAAAACACCATATTATAAAAAAATTAACATTATAAGAAATAATTAAGGTCTGAAGGTCATAAAGATTTCATTTCTGCTACTTATATATTTCCATTTATGGTACTTATTTTTCTCTTAAAAAGCATTTACCGTATTTACTCCAGTATAGTGTGCCACCGTGTATAAGACGCACCCCCGCTTTTGAGGTCCCAATTTGTGTAAAAAAATATTCCCTGCGTATAAGGCGCACCCCCCTATTTTGTAGCAAAAAGTGCCAGACAAGGGAGATGAATATGGGGTAAAGCCTGTCTTGAGGTAGGTCGAACCTCGTTTCTTATTCACTGTCCTGACCTTTATCGAGGGGGGGGGGGGGGAGGACTGTTCTGACTAACTGCAGACAGTTTCCGCCTCAAATTAGTGATCAATGAGTTATAGATACGCTGAAAATTTTTTTCTTGAAAAAAAGAATTTTTTCCTCGAGTATAAGACGCACCCCCTCATCGAACACAATAAAATATGCAAAAAAAATGCGCCTTATACACGAGTAAATACGGTAATTTGATTTCTGTTTCATTTCCCCCTTCATTTCCAATTTCCAATCCTATAAAAGCAAAGAGCACTAAATGCTCCATTCCAATCTTCTTGTTAAGAAACATCAGATACATTAACATGAAAGACCTGAGTATTCATATATTCCAATTGTGCAGTCCCACAGAGAATGAAAGATACTGATGAAAGTCTGAGTCACTGAGGAATAATAAATTGAGGAATAAAAAATAAATTTCCGTGAAAAGGCTTCACCATTGATATCCAACAGGACATTTTTGAATCATTTGGAATCAAAGGATGTACCTGGAGATCCCGCTCAAATTGTTGCTTTTGAGCCTGCATATTCACTTCTAGACGGAGCTTGGCATCCTCAGCAAGTTGGAGCTCCCCTTCAAGTTCCTCAATCTGACCTTTGAGGTCATCTAGGGAGCCTTCGAGGGCACGCTTGGCCTTCTCTAACTCATGCACATTCTTGTCTGCAGTGCCAGCTGAATTAACCAGCTCATCAAGTTCATTCTGAAGTGCACGTCGACCACGCTCCAATTCTTCAATTTTGGCCATGGCATCTTCAAGTTCCCGATTGAGACTGAGGACTTTTGTCTCCTTCTCCCGTGCCTCCCGCTCAGCCTGGTCCCGTTCATTGGCAATACGCTCAGAGACAGCCTTCTCTTCTGCAAGAACTTTATCAAAATTTCTCTGCTTCTTCTCGAGCTCTTGGACCTTGGAACGTTGAGCTTCCAATTCAATTTGTGTGTCCTCCATGTCTGCTTGTAGCTTCTTGCGGGACTTGTCCAACTTGTCATTTGTTGCTTGAAGCTCATCCAGGTTTCGCTGCAGCACCTCCATGTCCTAACACATATTAAACAGATACGTTACAACCATCACACTGTCGCAGAAAAATACGAAAGGAAATTGAGACATTCAAAGGTCATCTGATTTGACCTGATGTCCAGTTATGGAAAGAACAACAGAAAAAGATTGAGACAAGTTGAATAATCTCATTCTCAGTGCTGGCAAATTGAACTCATGGAGGCGATCAAGGCTGAGAAGCCAATCGCCATCTCCGTATTAGCATGGCAAAGCATCATTGAAATTGTCTCATCGCTTATTCCAACCCTGTATGTTTCATTAAATGTGCTGCATAATCAGCCTATTTATATTCAATTATATACAACAGTATACTGTCATGAAGGCTAGTAACTACCATTTTGACTACAATTACAAGTGTATGAGATGAAGTCCTCTTCGAAAATTGGCAGGGACAAAGACACACAAGCCTGCATTAATATACAATTATGAAGAATTGTGTGATTCTTAATTTTGAACTGGAATGAATGTCACAACCTCAAAACTGCACAACAAGAATCAATTTTTGCATCTCTGTGACATCTTGGTGAAAAGTTGTGGGGACAGGATTCCAAATTCTGTAAAAAAAGCTAAATTTATAACTAATGGCACATCAAGGATGATGTTTTAAAAAAATGCTGCCTGTGTCTGTGAATCTCATTAAATTTGATAAAAGTCACTTTCAAACAAAATAGAGCAAATATGTGATTGGTTACTTACTTTGACAAGCTTCTTCTTAGAGTCTTCAAGCTGAGCTGAATTCTCAGCTTCCTCCTCTGCTCGTTTCTTGGCCTCTATCAATTGTACACTCAACTGTGTGATCTGAGAAACATGAAGGAACCCCATCATTAATAAATCCAAAAATAAAGTACCAAATTTATTTGTCAACTTCCAAAAAATTACCTGCTTCTCCAGGTTCCTCTTAGCTTCTTCTTCCTCCTCAAGCTGTTCCTGCAATGCTTCTCTCTCATTCTCTGCTTGGCGGAGCTTTGAGCTGATACTGAGTTTTTCCTGAGTCTCATCTTCCAGTGACCTCTGTCAACAGCCAACATAACTTCTTTTAAAGAAAAATGTACTTCAAGGAATTACTTCATATCAAGCCATTTTTTTTAGATTCAAGGTCTGAATTCAAAGCAAAGTCAGTCTTAGAGCACATATTTTTATATTAAGGAACAAAGACTTGGCGGACTTAAAAATGGGAGAAATGAGTGAAAAACAGACCTGGGCTTCAGCCAGCATAGCTTCAAGGGTGGCAACTGCCTTGGCTGAGCCACTTGCTTTGGTCTCTGCCTCCTCAAGCTGAGCTGTCAAGATCTCTAGCTCAGAAGTCATCTTCTGGGTTTTGTCAATGAGCTCTGCCCGCAATGCATCCGTGTCCTATCACAAAGACCAGATTCATTTTGGTTTCTTTGGAAATTTTTAAGATTTGATGCTCAGTGTTGAAATCGAAGCTCACATGAAGTTTGTTATCCAGCTCAGTGACCTGCTGCTCCAGTTGCTTCCTTCTCCTTTCCAACTCCTGTTTGGCACTGTTGAGAGATTTTATTTCATTGGCCATATCTGCATTCTCTGCTTCCAGGTTCTGCTTGGTCTTCTCCAGAGTTATCTTTGACTGAAAAGAACACATATGATCTAATCCTTGCCCTATTGCAAAAAAAGTGTCATGAGCAATTCTGTAATGTACCTTCTTGAGACTATCAAGCTGTTCATTGACCTCTTCAAAGGCCTGATTGTGTTTGTGACGGAAGTCAGCCAAGGCTTGCTCATGAAGAGCAGTCTCATCTTCAAGAGCCTTCTTCATTGCAGCCAGTTCCTGCTCTCGCTTACTCCTGAGTTCCTGCTGAGCAGCAGTAGTATCGAGGGAATCCAGAAGCTCATTCTTCAGTGCCTCAAGCTCTTCATTGAGGTCCCGCTTCTGCTTCTCAGCCTTTGCCCGGGCTACCTTCTCAGCATCCAGGTCTTCTTGGAGCTGGTTTATGACAGGATAATGGTTTGTTTGAGTGGCTCAAGGACTTAAAAGAAGATACAGGTACATGCAAATACCAAATGATAATACCAGAAAACCATTTAAATGATAAAAACTTAAAAGGGAAAACAATACATTAAGAAGGCAATGTACCCTCATAGGATATGAAATATAATGGTCTTGTACTACTGTGCAATTTCAAATGCCTACAATAGCTTGAATTCCTAAGTAGAACTGGTACCTCAGCCAGCTGTGACTCAAGTTCCCGATATTGCTTCTGAGAATGAGCACGGACAGCACCCTCTTCGTCAACACGCATCATAGCCTGAGTCAGCTCCTCCTCTCGCTTGGCTAGCTGTAGTTGAATCTCTTCAACCTGCAATAGCAGATCAACCAATGACTCATCTCAACAAAAGTCTGACTATGGTATATCCAATGGACAAGAAGGAGATAAAATACGAGACCTGAACTCTTCGTTCATTGAGCTGCTCTTTCAAGTCATTGAGCTCTGTCTCAATCTTGCGTTTGGCACGTTCCATCTCCTGACGTCCATGCAGTTCCTTATGGAGCCGCTCCTCAAGGTCTCCAATTGTGGCCTCATGTTTTGCCTTCAGTTTTGTTAAATGCTTTGCCTTCTCCTCTTCCTCAGCTAGTGTCTGGGACAGATCCTGTGCACGCTCCTCCAATAGCTTCTTCTCCTTTATCAGCTGCATGGAAATAACAGTAAGTTGATGATGTTCATTGATGAAATGAAAATTTAACTAATTTTCATTTCATATCTTTTATTTTATGAAAAAAAGGCATAAGCCTACCTTTTGATTAGAGTCCTCAGTTATGGCTAGTTGCTCCTCGTACTGCTTGACCCTGGCCTCAACTTGTACCTTCTCCAGCTGAATCTTCTGTCTTGCTCCTTCCTCCTCCTCCAGTTGCTCTTCCAAGTCCTGTTTTGACAAGCAATGAAGAATGGCAATTTCAATTAGCATTGCATGGTTTCAACAATACAAAGATGCATAGAATTAATCATGACCCTATAATTATCAATAGAAGAGAACCTATACAGGCTCTAAAGAAAAAAGCATTTAAAAATGCAAGACAAAAAAAAAATTGTCAGACTTGTGTCAGTCAAAATTATGTTAAAGATTTATAGGGAATGGAATGAACTCTGTTCCTATGAATACCTGAATATGCATTTGCAATTTCTTCTTCTCTGTCTGGAGCATAACAGCACGTTCTTCCTCCTCCTCAAGCCTACCCTCCATGTCATGGAGGATGTCCTCAAGCTCCTGCTTTCGGGAAGCAAGGCGTGCTCGCATTTCCTCAGCCTCAGCACACAGCTCTGTCTCTGCCTGAAGTTGCTCAGCTAGGATGTTCTTATCATTGAGCATCTGCAACAATCACATGTTTCACTTTTCCAATTCTGTAAAGGAATGAACTATATAATCCCTGCATTATCCAGATGTAAACCAAGAAGTTGGCTACCTCATGGGCTAGAACTGAAACATGTGAAGAGTACATGAAGCAGGCCAATCTAATATCAGCTCTTTTTCAATTTCCTATTCCAGTTTTTGATATAGTAAAATTATTGCCAAGGAGGGGTCAAGGACAAACCTGTTCATATTTCTTCTCCAACTCTAAGGTAACCTTCTGATGGTGATCAAGTTTGTCTTTCACAGCACGTAGTTCATCTTCCTTCTGGGTCAGCACTTCTTCCTGCTTTGTGACTTGGAGCAGGGGCTTCACCTTGGTGTAGAGGCGCCACCACTGCCAGTTGCGAAGCTTAAGATATGCAACACAATTTCTTTGAATGATACGGATAGCGTTGAGCTGCTGCATCCGCTTCTGGTAGTTGCGGCGTGCCAGCATTCCACGGCAGAAGGCCTGAAAATTGACAATGAGGTCTGTGATCTTGAAGTCCCGTTCCTCTTCTAGGTGGGCTAGTACACCAGCTCGAAAGAAAATCTTGGACTGCCCAATACGAAATAGGTTTGGATCCAGCTCCAGGTTTTGAATCTGAAATAAATAAAAGAAGCATACACAATGAATAAACATTGTCAAAAGGGTTATGATTAACAAATATCCTGCATTGTTATTTGTAAATAAAAAAAAAGGAAAGACATTGCAAACTAAAAAAGAAGTGGGTGGGATGAAGCTGAACTGAAACTCCGTACAGCAAAACCAGAAAGATGTGTCCCTATAAAGTCCATGCATCAATGCTTCAGTATTCACATGCTCTTCAGTTTAGATGGAAAAGAGTCAGAACTACTTCAATTTAAAATACATAATGCTGCCTGTAAAGGGAAAATGTGGTGGACATAATCAATTTCCTCAAGTACCCCTTATGTATCTGAAGTGTTCTCCAGTTGTGTCTAAGTGTCTAAGCTGCAGCAGAATCAACCAATTCCACTAATAGGGGTTAAATCAGTGATGCACAACCAGCAGCCTCCTTCTAACCAGATATATAGTGAGTCAGAAATCCAGCCCACCATTTGCACATTCAAAGCATTGAATGCTAGATGAGACTGAGTTGTGATTAACACTATTTGAAAGGCAAGAAAATTCTCTACTCAAATAAATCTTTTATTATTCATGTTTTCTTCCTGAGACAAATTATTTTTCTAATGCATTCACATTTAGAAACACACTTTTTGTACATAACAGATTTTGATTTTTTTTTTATGAAAATAATCTAGAAGCAACTATCAACAACTGTTTAGCAATAGACTTTTTCCCAAATTTGACCAGAATGCAACAGAAGCTGTTGCACAATTCAGAAATAAATTCAGGAGAAACTGTCAGCTACAGTCAATTGTCCATTTTGCTACAAATTTTGATGAGGGGAACATTAGTAGACCTTCCCCAACCTGAACATCCACAGACTGGTTGCTCTGAAGAAAAAGTATTTGTCAAAAGGAAAATTTCTCAACCACCCATAAGTTCAGCACAGTGCATGGCAACAGACACTAAAATCCCTGTGGATGATCTAATGAATTTTACAGGATCTTTAACTTGTAACTTCAAAAAACTGCTCATCTTTATGATGCACCTATGGAGTCCATGTCCTTTCCTTAAAAGATTTATGCCTATAGTTTGGAAAGCAAAGAATCATTTTCCATGAACTTACCATCTTCTCGCATGCCTTCTTGCCATCCATGAAGCCTTTGGGGATACAGTTGGGAGTAAGGAGCTCGTAGCGCTGTCGGAATTCCTGGAAGGGGATTCGGTTTGGGAAGCCCTGTCGACAGATACGTATCCCCTCCAGAACACCATTGCATCGCAATTGGTCTAGCACCAGTGGGGCATCGATCTTCCCTGCTCGTTTCTCGTGATTTGGAATAATGCAGCGTACGAAGTTTGGGTTTGTGTTCCTCAGTGTCATCTGCAAAATTACAATGAATTTATTGCTATTGGTGTCCAAAAGAAAAGAAAAGAGAGAGGTAAAACCAACCATCAGTTTGGCAAGCTGTTCCTTGTAGAGCTGAGACACAGTTCGGAACATTCCCTTACGAGTGCGGTTTCCGAACTGTGTGTCCGCCATGGCCATGTTACCCATACCAACAATCTCAGCTGAAAATGTTCAACATGTGTTAAAATTCACAGCAGTCTTCCACCTTCACAAGCTAAGAAAGTTCTACACTCACCATCCTTCCAGATTTGGACAATGAAAGATTCTTGTGATGCCTGAAGCAGGGAGACAACATGCTCATTCAATGGATCCATGTTCTTCATTAGCCATTTGGCAGCAGAGTAATCAACCTACAAAAAAAAAATACTTCAAGCCTCTGTTGCAAGGATAAAAAATATTATAAAACAATGCAGGAATCAAGGATGAAGTCCTTCACCTTCCCAGCATAATGGATGATGGCAAAGTCAGCAATACCACGGAAATCTGTCTTCATGAACTTGGGATGGACAGAATGAGCTGAAAGGAGTTTCTCCACAAATGTCTTATCTGTTGCCTTAGGGAACCAGCACTCCTCATCCAGCAGGGCCAAGATTCCCATTGGCTGCCAGGAAACATTTTTAAATGCATGACATGAAAACAAATAAGAATGAACATTTCAAAAGAAATCCAATAAAATTGGATCAAATTTAAAATAATGGACATTCAAAATATTTTGACAGCACTCACATAATCCAGTCAGTCAGTTATGAAAAATGTAAAAACAGATCTAATTCAGAGAGAAGTTGATTCATTGAAGTTTTCTGTGTGACTTTAAAATTTTTTACTGGCTTGATAAGAAGTTTACTTTGTAGTACTGGCATCATTCTGGCAAAAGGTTAGCTTACTCATCCTGTTTCTAAGTAGGACTTTTGTGTCTGCAGTATTAAGACAGCAAAAACATAAGTCAGGTATGGCTAATGAAAGAGGATTGGAATGAAGTCAGTCATCATCATGATATTACACTGCATAAGATTCTTCTAGTCACACTGTGAGGGCATTTTCATACCCTGATTATAGGGTAACCAAAATCAATGCTTATTGGCCTAACGAATACCAAAAATGACAGTGTTCTTGGTAGAAGCCTGAGTACAGGCCGCTCATATTCTCATTCGTGCTGACTGGAATGGTGGAGATGAAGCGTATACAATGGATTCGGTCATGTTTTCACTTAAGATACTAGTGCTTCCAGAGCCAAGATTGCCAAATATGGCAGGGAAGTCCAAGTAAGATCTATTCTTTGACGTCTGACCTATTACATAACGGGTACCCTAGCGCCCGAAAATTTTCAAGGTCGGCTACTAGATTATACTATGAAGCGGACGGTTGCATCGCTGTTGAATCGTAAAAGCAGTCTGATGATGTAGCTTCAATCTAAAGGGCCTGTGAAGTTGAAGGCATCAGATACACGAGAGAGTGCTTGAGACAAGAGAAGCGGTTATAGTGAGGAACACAAGGAGGTTAAGACTTAATTGTAATGGAGGAGTTCAAGTACTGCCTCGTCAGGTCAGGCCCGGCATGCATTCTTCTGTTTAAAAAAAAAAAGCTTATGGATGGATGGATGGATGGATGGATGGATGGATGGATGGATGGATGGATGGATGGATGGATGGATGGATGGATGGATGGATGGATGGATGGATGGATGGATGGATGGATGACATTCCTATGCCTAGCCGTGTCTATTTCTCGAAGGAAATCGGTACTTTTTCCTTTCCATGCCCTCAAAACTGGAGTCTGTTGCCTCAGCTGGTTCTTTTTTATCACTCTTGAAAGGGAGGGAGGGAGGGATGGATGGAAGGTAGGAAGGAGTCTTTCAGCACCACATCAATCAAGCATGGACTCTGTCTCCTTTCACCTCTGATGAACCTCACTTTCCCACCCCCTCTGGGTCCTTGTGAAGCCTCATTTGCCAAACGCCCCGGTGACTAATCTTTATTTATTCACCCTTTGATTGGGCTATATTTCATGCATTATGCAGCCCTAATACCTTCCTCGTGCCTGAGCTGCATTCTCAATAGGGGCATGACAGATTTCCTCACAGACCCCAGGGAACAACTGTCTATAAGTCCTTCCACTCCGAATCCGACAGTAGCATCTGTTATCATTTGTTCATCGAAATCAGGACAGGACGGGTTGGGATCAAGAACGCAAACAAAAAAAAACTGGCCTGGCCGGAGTCCAAGAGGCCTTTGTCATGGCCTTTACATGTGCCTTGACTATATCGGGACATTGAAACTCTCTTCCCCTCACACTTCCATGCAAGGGCTGAAGGGAGGGATATGTAATAGGCCTTGTTGTCCTTTCCTGTCGTTCCGGCGTTTATGACCATACATGGATCTGCCCCGTTTCCAGAATAAGATCGTGATCGAAGTGGAATGTGATGCCAGAGGATATGAAGGAACGCTTCCGTCTCAAATCTCAGTGGTAGATTTTCTCTTCATACTGTATTATTTCGAGCGCAGACTTCTAAACAATGAGCCCGTGGGACGAAGAAACCAGTAAATCTGTTGGTTTTTTTTTTCTCCAGGGCTTTTTCTTCCACCGGCTGCCTTATCGACGAACGAAAGAAGGGAAAGAAGCGAAAAAGGACTGAACGAACGGCATTCTTTCACGTGCTGACGGAAACGGGCCCGCAGGCATCCGATAAAGAAGTCTCGTCTCATCTCATCAAGCAGACGGGGAGACAGACATACAGACAGATGTGGGGAATCTCTTCTGGCAGAGAGGGGGGTCACAATGCCATAAATGTGACCGAAAAGAAGGATCAACATCGGAATCGGGGAATGCGTCGTTGCACAATGTTCTTGGACGGATGCCCGAGTTCGTGAGACCGGGGAAAATGAAGCGGGGAATCCATCTCGACCTGGCCCGGGGCCTTTCCTACTTAGACCTATCCATTCCATATCCAAGTACCTCCACGAGTCTCGACTCTACATGCATGCATACATTTGCAAGTGCGACATATATGGAAAGGAGACTTGGCTCTCGGCTCCCCTGGAGGGATGCTCGTCTTCCATCTGCATTCATCCGGCAGTCAAAACCTCTCCACAGTACGCCTTGGGAAATTCCTCTCCGCCACTCGTCCAGCGTTCATTCTTACATTGCCTCAATCCATCAAAATTTCCTACGTTGCACACCCGCCCTGGTGGCATTCCGCACTCTCATAACTCCTCCTAAGTGTCGGTTTCGGAATGACATATTCTGTTCGCTTTTATGATCGTATTCTATCCTATTACAATGCCCTGAACGAGCTTGATTTTTTTCTTCCTTTTGGAAGTTATCCCATCTTTATAGTCCTCCATAACGTCGGTGCGTCACCTTCTCAATGAGGTCGATGGTGGGCTGAAGGTCGAGGCCAAAGTCAATGAACTTCCATTCGATTCCCTCCCGTTGGTATTCCTCTTGCTCCAAGATGAACATGGTGTGATTGAACAGTTGTTGCAGCTTCTCATTCGTGTAGTTGATGCACAGCTGCTCGAACGAATTCAACTGAAACAAATGATCATTACTTTTTTCCCATTCTGCGAACTGGGTAATTTGTATTAAAAAAAAAAAACTGATTCGAGCAGGAGCAAGTAGTTTACATCGAAGATCTCGAAGCCGGCGATGTCGAGGATGCCGATGAAGGAAGCCCCCTGTCTCTTCGTCCGGTCGAGGCTCTTGTTGATGCGGATGACGAGCCAGCGGAACATCCGCTCGTAGCACGCCTTCGCGATTGCCTCCACCGCAAACTCCACCTGTCAGAGGCATTCCCATTTTCCCTTCTCACTCTCTTTCTCCTTCAATCTGGTCGAGACTAACTACGAAAGAATTTACCGAAAATCATAGAATTCTCTCGACAAAGCATGACTTTATTCTCTGAAGCGAGGGCTTTTTCCCCCTTCACTTTGGACTACTTAATTAACTATTCTAGGTACTCATTCAGCTTTATCGTGGTTCTACCCGGATTAAATTCAAGTTCTTCAATTTTATTTTCCTCTGCTTCTTGTCACACATTTTGAGAATGGATATTGGGAGAAATAAGCGGAGAATATTGCGAGATATAATCATTACTTGTTCCGAGGTCTGCGATTTGGTGACGTAGTCTCGTCCGACTTTGATCCTGGGCTTGAGGAAAGCCTTGGTCATCTCCGTGACGGAGAGCCCGAGCAAATGAGCGATCTTTTGAGCCACAGTGTTGTCCGGCAGGGTTGCCTGATCTGAGTTCCTCTCCTGACGAAACTGCATGTTCCCAAACAGCAGCACCGACGAGATCACCCGGAAGATCGCTGGAGGGGAAATTTTTTTCTTCTTTTCAAATAAGACTCATCGGCCCATCGATCCCAACATTCAAATCAAAAACCCATTCCTTTTCGCTTCTACTGTGCATGGCTTTACGGCTTTCTTTCTTGTCTTTCTTATTATGGCTGGAAGCGGGACAACAAAAGCAGAACGAGAAAGTTACGTCACGTTTACGACGCAATCTCTGGCAGGGGGAAAGGTCTCAGGCCTAATCAAATCGGCTCTCTCTGACCCATCTGGCGAGTGTACGAGGGAACATATGGGCACTGAGTGAGAATCACTCTAATGTAATCCCGTTGTTATGATGAGTTGGGTCAAAAGGGGACAGAAAAGGGCTCCAGAATCACTTCTCAACTCGGGTTCATTAGCGAGGGGTACCTTCCACTCAGCCTTATGGACGGGCATTTCCGGCACGGTACGAGACAAGTCCATTCAACCACTTTCATCATGCATTTTCCACAGTTCATTACTGTTACGTACTCAGTTTTTTTTATATTATCAACTCTTAATTGTTTCCTTCCTTTGAGGGTGGGCACCTGCGACGCATTTGGAACCGCTTTGAGGTCCCAGCATTGCGTGATGTAATGATCCGGATTCCAGACGATTCCTTGCTGGTTCGACGAGGACGAGGTCCCCCATAATGGATGACCATCATGTATCATATCTGACGGGAAAAAAAAAAAACGAATCGCGGAAAAATCTCCCTGCACGCCAAGACACGACAAGGCGTAGGCGTGAAAATCTAGTTTAGTCCAAGACAGGCGTAATTTTCTATTCGCGGAACTCGTTTCCTACGATCCACGGCCCCCAACAGTCGCACGTGCACACTTATTAGGGCTCAAATCAGTTCTCGTTCACTGTGAAAGGTGCACAGGGGGAGGGGGTCTAGAAGATAATTTACACTGTTGGCCTTCGATGAGCAATTAAACGGTGGGGGGATTCCAAGCATTCTGGGCCTTACGAAACAATTCTCCTTCGTGACGTGGAAAGCGCGCGTGACGGGAATATGGACGGAATATATTATTCCATCCGTGAGCATTTGCGGAGACGAGTTTGAAAAGACAGGTGTCGAAATCTCCTCCGGTCGTAAAGGAAAAAATAATGGAAATCTGTAATTACGGCCTAATGGCGACTAATCAGGATGCAGGAGTAGTACCGCAAGCCGAAGATGCTCATTGGATATGGAAGAAATGCACTTGCGGCTTCCGAGTGGAAGATGCCCATTCGATATGGCGGCAAACGGTTGCAATCGACCGACCGGTGGAACCAGAAGATGAAGTCGCCTCTTTAGAAAAAAAAAAAAGAAAGGCGTGGGTCGTATATGTGTATGTATATACGCATGATGTATGGTTGCGGGTCGCGACTCCTGACCTCCAAAGAAAGTCCCCGACTCCCAATCGATTCTTATCCGGGAGTTTCTCAATCATCTGTATTAGACTGGACCCCTCCTCCTCCTCCCTTTCAAGAGTGATAAAAAAGAACCAGCTGAGGCAACAGACTCCAGTTTTGAGGGCATGGAAAGGAAAAAGTACCGATTTCCTTCGAGAAATAGACACGGCTAGGCATAGGAATGAACATCTGTCTGTATCCTTCTTCTTTCGTAGCTGTGTATGCGCACCGAATAAGGGATGGGGTGGGCACGTCATGGTATGCATGCCATAAAGCAGCAAAGGTTATCTTTAAACCTAGGTTATCGTCATCGAGGACTCCCCTCGTCTTGCTTCACCCGAGTACAGTATAAGGTCGCGGGACCCCATATATTTCAAAGGACATTCACGAAGACGGACGGGGCTCATGTGTGTCCCCATCCAGTCAAGGGAGAAGAGGGCCGCTGGTTGGGAAATCTCGGGGGGGGGGGGGGGGGGGGGGGGGGGGACAGANGGGGGGGGGGGGGGGGGGGGGGGGGGGGGGGGGGGGGGGGGGAATGGAGGAACATGACTCATATCTCGATTCTCTCCACATCTCATAAGCCTGTTTCTCCATTCCTCCGTTTTCTTCCTTTGATTTCCCTTCTTCGGCAGGTGATATTCATTTCATAGCTCAGAATTCTTTAAACATCGGACATCACCATCGGGATGCAGCAGCCTACTTCAATTTGCATTCTATTGTTCCCGTATTCATTCCACGGTTCCCTTCTTCATTCCTGCCCAAACGAGTCCTTTTCGCAGAGTTTTCCCCTGTACCATCTATTGCTTTTTAAATATCATTGTTCATTCGTTATACAAGGACAATGAAGCAACAGTTGCTTATGATTACCTTCATAGAGTACAACAGATGGTCGCGATGATTGCCTCCAATTTCAATCGAGGGCGGAGTAAACTCCTTTTTTTTTTTTTTTTTTTTCACGTAAGCGAAAGTAGCATTCAGTTCCAGAACATTTTCCTCCTGGGCCTATCGGTCTTTTCAAAGGGGTCGATAAATTTCGGATCGTCCACGATGAAAATGCGGCACGTGCCAAGCAGGACTCGAAGACTTCATAGGGTTCAATGTTGAAATTCTGCTCCTAGCGCACGGATACCACTCGTGTTCTGACTGACTCACTACAACTCATAAATACGCATAGGGGGGAAGGGACGGAGACTCGAGACGGAGTCAGATATATCGCGGACACGAGGAATTGAATGGATACTTATCTCTTCCATTGTCTCTGTACCAGGTGTCCCACAGAGGCAACACCCTTGGAACAAGATACAGGATATCCTGCCGCTCGACATCTTTCAACTTTCTTTATAAATGCGGACTCCAAGGGTGGACATTACCTCATTTACTTCGACTGGGTTATGCTGTTTCACCTCACCTCTGCTATAATCATATATATACATGTTTTACAGCAGCTATAAAATTTTATCTGCACCTGTTGACACCTTCAGATATGAAATCTCCTCTCGAGCTTAACCCCCGCATTATCATGCGTGAATGGAAGAGGAGTCGCCACTTCAACCTGGCATTGTGTCTATCTGTGGGACTGGGGGGAGAGAAATAAAGGGAACTGAAAGAGGAGAAGTTAATATATGATGATACGGTGATGATGGCAAGGCATATCAAGTTCTATTGTGTCCGGCTAGGGTTACAGAGAGAGAGGAAGAGGAAAATGTTAATGGCTTCACACGTCGCACGATTCCATGTGATATCATCAACCACTCTCTCTTCCTCTCTGACATGCATGATTGGATCTTCATCTGGCATCAACTCGACACGTACCCAAGCACACATACACTCTCATCGGGTTTGAACTTTGCACTCATCTTTTCTTCTCCAAACAACACTAACGACTCCCCACATTAAATTTCAGCTCCCTAAAAATTCAAGTTTTCAAGGTCTTAAAAAAAAATTAATAAACTTTCGGATCCTACATAAGTTTTGCACTCGATTGCGATCACCTCTACACGGAATTCCATCACGCTACATGGACGAAATATATCAGATGATAGAGGGAAAGAATGGTTCAATCGTACAGAAAAGGCCATGTTCAAATCAGGCTCTTTTTTCACTTCAACTCAGGGAACCATTAATTACACCCACGCGCGGGGTTAATCTCTATCTTTAATAATGGTTAAATCTCTTTACCATGCGAAACGATGAAAAAGTCAGGATGTCAGCCAGTTCTTCCCCCTCTGGAATTACCCCTAGTTAATCTCTCCATCAATCAAGACCTCTTTAATGAGGGCAACGAAGTCATCAAGTGCGGACAATAGACATGAACGAATGTGTTAGTTCGCTCCGGGTTCCGGAAAAAAATATAATTCGCTATTCCTGAACTGTTTCGACAATTCCTTTCCTATTAACTCTTCCACTGATGATATTTTGACTTCGTTATTTTTCCCCCCATGTTTCGTTTGCATAAAAACGTTAATAATCGGTAAACCATGACTCATGTCTGTATCTGTTGCCACGTCAATAACAGCCGCTATCAGATGTCTCATCGGTCGGGAGAGATGCCATGTGCAGGTGGACTCCATGCTTCAGTGCATGCATCTCAGCAATGAACGTATGGACGCAATAGTTGCGATTTTCAAAACTGGTTTCAGGCACGCGTCGCAATTATGCTCACCCCGAACAAGAGGGTCATGACTAAAAATAATTGATTAGACTAATGTGAAGACTTGCAGGAAAGGTCGTCGTCGAAGAGACCCATGATGTTCATGGCCTTCACGGTTGAAAGGAATTCCTGAGCGTCGTCCACTCCGGGCACGGGAAGGCTCCCGTTCGTCATGAACGCATAATTCCCTCCGGCCTCCAACAAAAACTCCTCTGGATCATCACAAATAGAGAAATAGAAAAAAATATATATATATTTTTCAAATAATCACATCAGACATGAGGAACGAAAAAAAAAAAATCAAGAAAGACGGGAATAGAATGATATACTGCTGGCCTCGAGGGCGACAACTGTTACTTGTACGCCAATTAATGAGGATAAGAGAGTACAACTATGATCGGAGTTTTGATGTAACATCCAACATGAAAGATATTGCTTATTGCTATCTGTATCCAGTATTCAATACCTTACGTTTGATCGTTTCTAATAAGCAGTGTTTCTCGTAGGCAGTCACCAACTACAGTACTCAGTATTTCCTGCTTTAATATTAAATTTTGTCCTTTCATCAAGTCCAGAGAAGAACCACTCTATAATCTCTACGTGCATTAGTTCCACTCCAAATAGATTCCTTTCTTTCATTTGACGTGACTCGAGGAAGAATTGAGAATGGAGACGCACTCTTTTGTTCGGGTGTAGCCCCGGAGAGAAGCTGATAGAAGATGTGGAAAGTTCGCTCGTCCTTCGCCTGGCGGATCGCACGAGACTTCTCCAATAGATACGTCTCGATGTTCGCTCCCGCGATGTACCCCGACGCGTCGAAGTTAATCCGAATGAATTTCCCCTGGAATTTTCACAAAGCCCAAAAAGAGAGAGGTCTTTAATTGCTCGTTTCCAGCTGCCATTTCGTCTTCGGGATGATAGGAAAAGACTCACGAATCGGGAGGAATTGTCATTCTTGACCGTCTTGGCGTTGCCAAAAGCTTCCAAAATAGGATTCGCCTGGAGCAACTGGTTTTCCAATTCACCCTACATATGTCAAATCACCCACACCCCAGTGATCATCAACCCTCCATTCAACCATAGTCTTCTCAGTTGCAGCAATATAGTTATTGTTGCAGCAATATATAATGTTATGGTTAGTTTTTTTTTCATTACTATTCATAATTCAGCATTATTTGTACAATACTCAGGGAACTTATTTTTTTTCAAGCAGTATGGAAAACTTCCTTTGAAAATGCAATTTCACATTAAAGTTTTCTTGAAAGTTGCTTGAGTTCCATAAACTGATGAGAAAGAAAGGAGGACGTACCGCACACACGCGTTCATCCTTTGCAGCATTAAAAAAAAAGAAGCAAACAGAAAACCGGCAGCAGTTAGTGATTGGAAGCTGAGAGATGCAGACAGCAAGCAGGCATGCAATCTGCGTGCAGGAATTGGTGGGGGGAAACATTAATTCGGGAAAGGAGCAACTATTACAAGACCATGAGCATGCCCTATAAATGAGTGACAAGTGCGTACCGTAGACAATGTGGGAATGAGAGTAGCATGACGAGGTCATGTCGATCATAAATCTACCAGCAGAGACGGACAGGGTAAGTAATAAAAAAACGAGCATTGCGCAAATATTGACCAGTCTTGACTGGAATTAAAAGAGCAAGAGAGGAGAGAGTTCGCAAGTTGTAGCAACTTTTGGCACTCGCGTCACAACTTTTCATCCCGGCACGAACACTCTCTTCTTTCCCGCGACAAAGGAAACAAAAGGTGAACGTGTGCTAAAAACAGAGTATCTAGATCGTGCACGAACCGTGAAGGATGGGCTCCTAAAAAAAAAAAGGGATTGGTTAATAAAATTACGATGATGAATAACGGCGACGCAGGTGCTCTTGAAATACGTGATCCCCATATGAATGGAATCACCTCCATCATCAGTCCTTTCCTGGCTTTTCGTGGAGGCAGGGATCAGGCTCTCGAGAGCACTTGCGTCACGGAGAGATACCTTTCTCCGACCCGGCATTTCTCTAGAATTAGCGAGATACCTAGGATAACTTTCCAGGCAATAATGAGGTCTCATTTGTACTCCCATCAATTAAGATCGACTCGCCGCATGAAATTAAAATTATTGCACTTTGAGGTAGGATTCAGGCGATGAAGGCTAATACTTGGAAAGGGGGTAAGGGGGAGGGGGGTAGTAACTAGTAATGAAGGCCGTAAATCAAGAGTCGTAGAAGGATTTCATCATCGTCGTGACCGTGACTTCCCCTCACGAAAGTAGCATCGTCCGGGGAAAGACGGAGGGGACGACGTAATGGTGGACGCGGATGGAGAATGGTGGATGTGGTCCGCGATAGGGGGACCACCGACCACCTGGTACGAGGATCCCTTGTCCCAGGCTCTCCCATCCAGATTCCGGCGGGGTCCACGGGATGAGGGAACCTCGTTCCCCCAAGTTTCTTTTCCCGGGGTTTGGGGTTCCGTGGAACGCGAGAGAGGACCGTAAAGCGGTACTTCCCGGTACTCGCTCGCCTCAGGGCGGCGTCTGTCCCGCATTGCGAAATTTCTCCTCTCTCTCCCTCTCGTATAACGCCGCTGCAGCTTCCCTTCCCCTGGCCTGGGCCATCCATATAATGGAGTGACACTGGACTTTTTCTCATGTTTATTTTTTCTTCTCACTCCGGCGACGCACCGTCGCCTTACCAATCTAAACAAGATGCTAATTCATTGACTAAAGTCAACCGAGAATTCCAAAAAAAGGAACATTCCTGATGATACACATTGTCAAGCCCGATTGAATTTTATCACAACTTGGCACTGTCGAATGAAGAGGACCCCTTCACTTCTTGCCCATCCACAATCTTCGAAGAAAGAGTTTACTTAGGTGATGTGCGAATTGATGTAGTGAGAGAAAAACGCGGGGATTCGAGTGCTGGAACACTAGGTCTGGAAGGTTTTAATAGCCCAAGACCACCAACACAATTCGTATACAGAGTTTCTCTGTCACACATGACTAAGGTTTATTATTATTCATCTCGAGATGGATACCATCAAGTCTCGGGTATCGTTCTGCACTAGAGAGTATCGTGACGGAGGAGATTAGGGGGAGAAAAAAAAAAAGATCTCCAGATGTCGTGTGCCATTTTATCTGCACGGATATACTAGTAAGCACGACTATCCGTGACTAGTTAACAACTCGAGTACATAGACGGTACTTTAATACGACAAGAGTTTTAAGGGCCTTTAAATCCTCAATCTGACCCAGAAACGAACTCTAGTCTATGCAAGAGGGCTAGGCAAGAGAGGAGAAAATAAAAATCATCCGAGGAAGCCCTAGGGGAAATATGGGTCAATCGATTGCGTGCTAATGAACGTCCTTCACAATGCCGTCGTCTTTCCAACCTGTTCACGTGTGTGTCTCTCTTTCTCTCTCTCTCCCCATCACGTTTATTCAGACTATTAAGAAAAAAAGTAATAAGGGGAAACTTCCCGACCTGGTCTGACTGCACCGACCTAAAGGAATTTTACTTTTTATCCCACTACATCCTCTCACAGGGTGGGCCAAAAAAATATTCGGTTATTTTTAACGCTTCACAGCGTAGTTTATAGTTTGAAAATATTGTAGCATTATATAGAACATTTATCTAGCTTTTCACTTCGGTCAATAGATTTAATATCCATTTCGTCATTCCGATGCAGTTATGCACAGAGAAACGAAGATAGCGCTTTAAAAGTGCACTTATCATTATCCAGCAAGATGTGCTCCAAGTGACGTCCACCCCTTTGCTTGCACATTCGCAATTTTGCCTAGGCGTTGTTCACATTTCCAGCGCCACCTCCTATACTCTTGATCTCATGGAAAAGAAGTTATGCCATGAATCTTTATTCTGTTGACATGTTCTATATGAAGGCGTTATTGCAATTTTAGAAAACTCTTGGGGACAAGTGCTGTGGAGCGATAAAGATAACCGAAGTTTTTTATGGCCCACCCTGTAGAACAAAAACCCAACAGACGGGATTAGGTAAAAAGGGAGAGAGAGAGAGAGAGAAGAATGCCATCGTCATCTTCACACAAGCTTCACTGTACGGAGGCACTGGGATTCCGATCACGTTAGAGAAAAAATTTCTTAAGAGTCCCACCATAATAATAATGATTTCTCCGCAGGATAACTGAGAACAGCCTGGCAGGTACAGCGAAGACAAACGGCATATGAAATAAGCTCACACACGAAACAAAAGAAAAACAGAAAGAACTAGGAGCGCAAAAAAAGGAACACATAATTAAACGAAGATCGACTGAAAAGCAAAAACAAGAACACGGACAAAGTACACACACAAACACAAACTTCTCGAGATTCTTTTTCAAAGACTTACGACGGCGAACACCACCGTAGGCGTAGCTGGCGTGCCCTGCTGTCATCAAGACACAGAGAAAGAAAAAAATCCACAAGTCATCAGCACTACGACGATAAAATCCAGAATCTAATAAAAGGAAAAGTTTGAAGGGAAGAGAAAAACTTGTGAAGCAATAGTAATGCGCGTACAGTACGACACCAAAAGGCGGCCTAAATACATTTTTTTCTATATTCACTCACGGCCTGGAGATCCATGGAATTGGATCGGTTGAAGAGGGCCATAACATCTCGAGGCCTCAACGGGGGAATCGCATCTCCCTATATACACAGTTAGTTATATTATATCCCACCCAAGAAGTTCATGACGTCATCATGAAAAAAAGATTGCCTTGGACGGGAACTTAGGCTTACGTATCGTAGAAAACAAAATAATAGAATTCCCTTCCAAGAAAAAACTCCCTGCTTCTTGTATTCACTTGAGCTGATAGAATCCTTCCCCTGCCTGGATTGCTCATCATTCTATGACGGGTTACGGAACAATCTAGAGGCTAGAAAGGACTACACCAACTCAAATGACCAGAGAGAAGGGAGTTTTTATTTATTTTTTTTTTGTTGGTACCTTTTATTTTCTTAAGTGCTTATTTTAGCTGGGGTGGGGGGTTGAGGGAGGCTATACCACGCATGCATTTGTCTATCATGCACCTGGTATCATGTGTACTCTACCCCATCCCAAATCCCATGCATTCCAATGCATATCCCATCCCCAGGCCCAGATTCTGCATGCTTTCTCCCCCTCCTATCCCTTATTGTCTCCCTCTGTTATGTGAGAGAGGTGGAAGTAAGAAAGTAAGAGTGGATCTTACGGAGTGGGTGGTGGTGCCAGGTTTGGGTTTGGAGGCGGCCACGTAAGCGAGATACTGGATCACCTTCTTCGTGTTCTCTGTCTTACCTGCCCCACTCTCACCAGTGCACAAAATGCTCTGATCCTCACGATCTGTAGCACATCCCACCCAAAAACAACAATCATTAATACATGCTGAAATTTCCGAAATAACTTCGGATAGTAATGCCAAAATAATTCATAGATCAAGAGACGCAAATATATCTTATAACGGTTTCGGATTGCTAGCTTTCTGCCAGAGTTGATCAACTCGAGTGTTTATCATCCGAGAGTGAGGGTAACCTATCACCGCTCTCATGAGAGCGCGATTTAACCAGGTAAACATAGTGGACACTTCCCACACCGGCTGTCGTGGCCGGGGGGAAAGCATGATTGTTCTCTGAGAAGTGCAGTGATCATTTCTTAAGTCCCATAAGAAACGTGAAAAACTAAGGCCATACGCCGCCATGGCACCAGTGTCTTATCGTTGGAACTCCGCAAAAATATCCAGGAAGTCGGTTTCTTGACTCGCGAAGCTTTGCGGGTTGGGAATATTCCAAGAAGTGCGAGGAGTCAGATTTCCCGAAACGGACATGGACTCAGACTCAAACGAGGATGAGTTGAGTTTACTCTCCAATTACTACCTGATTTTCTCCACCCACTTTCTACCCTTACTCGATTATGATTCGTTCGCAAGGGCAGCTCTAAAGCGGGAACCCGGACATCCTATTGAGTAACTTTCTTTTTACCCTCATTATATGATTAACATTATTCGAGCACAAATTTACTCGAGTAGCCAATCCATCCAGTTCGAAAGCTAGTATTGCCTATGTGGTTTAACCAATTTTATCTATTTATTTTGAGATTACCATTGTAGGTCTGCAGTTGAAAGGTTTTGTTATTATCTTCATATTAATCCGTTTTCGTCATAAAACCCCGGTCTCCTTTCTTTAATCGTCAAAACACTGACAAAACTCAAGCGATTCGCCATTCCTGTTTCGCTCATGGAAATGAGAAACTTTCCTATTCAATTTAAAATGCATCGAAAAGGTACAAAAGCAGTCCATCGCGATATACCTCAAAACTCAGTATCTCTTTAAAAATTAAAAAAAAAACTCAAATCCCGTTTCATAGTTCCAGATTCAAGCATTCCCAATTGGAATGAAAAGTAGACGAAGTAATGGATCCAGGCGTGTGGAAATTTCGAGAAAATAGTCCACGTAAGATAACAAACTCCGCTGCACAGAAGAGAAAGGAAAATAATGTAAGAAATAGAGACTAAGTTGCTTGTTCAGTCCTTAGTGAGAGCTTAGACATCAGCAACCAATGAATTAAAGAGGTCACAAAGAGGCCAATCAAAGGAGGCCTCACCATGGGAGGTAATGATAATGAAGCCTTCATATATCAAAGACACAGACAGAAAGATACATAGACTGGATTAAAATACACACGACCTCAACCCACATGGAGCTGGAAGCCGGACTTCCTTCCTGCATATTCTCCTTAGCTTGAGGGGTAAAAGAAAATGGAATGATGCAGCTGTCAGGAGATCATATGCAAATTTGTCTACGAACCACGACTGCACCTGTATATATGCGACCGTGAAACGAAAAAAAAGAAGGAAAAGTCTCACGAGGAAAACCTCAAAACGGGGGACCCCGCCATTTATTATCCACTCCTTTCCACCGCAGAAAGAAGGGAAAAAATACACAAAGAAGGAGAGAGACAGAGAAGGTTGAGAAAAAAAATTTTCCTTTCCGTTTCCCTCATCTTTTTCCATCTCTTCCGTAGTCAGGCAGTGACCCGAAGGAATATGAGCCTCATTTTCCCATCGACTGAGAAAGAGAGAACGTGGTTGATAGGCTTGGTCAGTCATTAGTTGAACGGGGAACCGGAATCCTCCTCCTTCGCCACCCTCTGTGCTACTCGTGAGTCTCTTTTCTTCATTTCTCCAGTATACTCATTATTCGAGATAAGAATTGCTGCCGCACACGAGCGAGATAAGAATTGCTGCCGCACTCGTGTGCGGCAGCAATTCTTATCGAGACGTTTGTCTGAAAGGGCAGGTTTGACAGCGAGATAAGCTAACCAGTTCCATGTTCTCTAAGTCCGGCTTTCTCATTTCCAGCGGAAAGGGTTCTCCTCGTCTACAATGAGATTGCGAAAAAAAAAAACTAACCTCAGGTACCCGTTAATGATGCCAGGGCGATTAAGGTTCATGTGAATGTGAATCACACTCAAACCGGAGTTCACTCTCTACATGTCTCCCTCAAGGAGAAATTGCCAAAGAGAGGGAGTGGGGAAGGGGATTGCAGAACCAAACATTTCTTTCAGATTGGCAAGAAACCCTCAGGCAAAAGGAAGTGCACGCCACTGCCTCCCATTTAACTGGACATAAGCAATCGGTTCTGCATCCTCATTTTTTACTCAAAGCGCATGACTTTCATTTACACAATTTTTTGTCGTGTAATTTCCACTCAGGTTTTAAATTGTTTCGTTTATAAGGTTTAAAAGAAGCAAAGTCAACTCGCATTATATCAACGGATATAATATTATACATGGGGTGGATTTTTGAACAGAGAACTATCCGATAATGCTGCTTTATTTACCGGATATACAATGCATTTTCTCTTGTATATCCGGTAAATAAAGCTGCATTATCGGATAGTTCTCTGTTCAAAAATCCACCCTATGATTCTTCCCTCTGAACAGACAATTTTACACGGAAATTAGCTTCCGGTGTAAGTCCAGGCTCTAATCCATTCCACGTTCATTGAAAATTACACTCGTTAATTCTTTGGCTTTCACACCATGTTATTAAATTTCCCCTGCCTGGCTCCTCTTAATCAGTCAAATTCTTATGTTCTGGCCAGTCTGTCTTCGACTTTTGAATCTGACCCCGGCGGTTACGGGGGTGTCAGAGGGATGGAGGAGACTCACCCCCACCATCACCACCACCACCCACACGAGGTGGAGGCCTCTGCCTCCACATCGTTTCAGGTGAGCGTGAGCGTAGGTGGCGCAGGGCATTACAATCACAGTTACGAGCAGGAGGGACTTGAAGGCCATTCCGGAAACAATGACGGGGAACTCGACCTGGCCTCCTTCTTCTTCCACACGCCGAGCCTGGGAGAGGAGTACGATTTCCACCTCTTCCATCACCAGCAACAGGACTATTGTGAACTGGAACCTTCCTCCATCCAAGAGGAATCGGGAGGATTCCAGTCCCAGGAGACAGTAATGGACCCTAGACAGGACTACTGCTTTCAAGCCGTCGAGGCTGGGTACCAGAGTACCTCAGGGTACCAAACGAATTACTACAGCGAGAGCATTGTTCAGGAGTCGCCTTGGAGCGCAGGAGGAGTGACGAGAGACGAATCAGTGTCAGTGTCTCCTGCAGTTCCTCCCAAGAAGAAGAAGCGGATAAGGGACCCGAACGAGCCTCAGAAGCCAGTGTCTGCTTACGCCCTATTCTTCAGGGACACCCAAGCGGCCATCAAGGGTCAAAACCCCAATGCCACCTTCGGTGAGATCTCCAAGATGGTTGCTTCCATGTGGGACGCTCTGGACGCAGACCAGAAGGCCGCCTACAAGAGGAAGACTGAGACGGCAAAGCGGGAGTACCTAAAGCAACTGGCCTCCTACCGGGCCGGTCTCGTTCTTCAGAGTGGACAATTGGATCTACAGTCCTTTGCGGGCAACCACGACAATAGTCCGGGTGGGTCTGACCTGGCCAAAAAATCCCCTCTTTTGGCCTCTCTCGTCAAGGACCGTCTGTGACAGTGGCAAACAATTTTCCTTCTCTTCCCATATATTACTCCCTGTGTACTTCAATGACGTATCAGTAAAATTACCCTTGAGAAATGTCACGTGATGGTTCTGAAAACGAACTTGGCACGGTCTTGGAGTCTGCGTTGATATAAAAATAGCACGCATTTCCGGTCTGGCCTCAATATATAAATCTCGTCGACATACTCTCTCTCACTCTCAGAAGGGATGAGTCATCAGAGTCTGTGCACGACCGAGGCGCGTGTCAGGAATGTGCAACTAAGACTTACATTAGAACATTACTCCATTACATATACCGTACGTAGGGAGAGAATTTTTTCATTCCTTTCGGGGGGACAAAGCGGGACTTTCTCTTTCTGTCACCTCCTCTCATCCTCCTCCTTTCTTGCTCAATCTCCTCGAGGAACATGTGTACAGCCTTTGTCGCACACGGCCTTTTTTTTTAACCCCCCCTGTCGAGCCTGTTATCAAGCCGAGAGCCTCCTCTTTTGTCGAGGGTCCGCAGAGTGGAACCAGGGAGGAGTCGAGGAGGATTTTACTTGCACACGATGCAGGTGGAAGCAAGGGAAGGAAAAAGAGAGAGAGAGAGAGAAAGAGAGAGAAGAGGATGTCTGCGGGTATGAATCACACTCGCAGAGCAAATATTCCACACCCAGGCTGGACCAGGCTTAGCATGGCACGGAAAATGACTTTCATTTCTCCACTAACGACTCTTTCTCCTATATTCTAAAGCAGCAAAATAAAATCGTAAACATAATTCAGCGCATTAATGTAAAGGAAAAAGCAAGCTGAAAAATCACAAGGTCTTGCTGGTGACGTGGAAAAGACTAAAATTTAATTTCACGACAGTAAATAATATATAAATAGTGAGTCAGAAGCTAAATGAAGCAAAAATAAAAAATATGAATAACGCAAAATAGATGGCTAAAATGAGGCGTAAGCCCTTCAAAAATGATCCATGGCAGTCAGACCTAGTCGCTATTAATGAAGAGTGGCCTACTATAATTAGAATCCTGCTACATTATAATTAGCGCAGCTCTCCAGCAAAAAAAAAAAAGGCCAGGGTAGGGAGAGAAGATTGTATGACGAAAGAGCGCGTGTGGAATGAAAACGACAGCTGTGCTATCACACCTGATCTTTTCCTCTCTGCCAAGTGATATCAGATGGGGCACTGTACATCACGCTTTATCTGGTACGCCAACACATGGAAATGCGCGTTTTTCTTCTCGCAATCCCCGTCGGTATCTACTATAGGGATGCAAATGAAGAGAGAGAGAGAACAATGCCGGGATCCCATTGCGACACATGAAGGGAGCTTGTAACTATGATACAACAGCTACCGTGCCGATTAGGGTCATATCCGGCCCCGTTTAAACTCTCATTAGTCCTCCTTTGATCGTGAACGGAAGCCCAGGCAAATAACGAACGCAAATAATTCCTAATAAAATTACAGAATAAATGACGAGGGAATCTCACGAGAGGCATTCTTTGCATAACTTCATGCATTGATGACATAACGTACGGTCATATCATACGTATGCTTACTCGGCTTTTTCTGATTTTCAAGTCTCATTTCTAGATCCATAACGAAAGAAACGGACGACACCATATTCAATCCTACTGAACTTAAATCATTAAAGAAAGCTGCCATCCATATAGTTGGCATAGTTCAATGCACAGATGGCATACTGAAGTGACATCAAACTCTTGTCGATCTCCCTGACCTTGGAGCATGGAGCGGTAAGCGGTGTCGGTGATGGCGAAGACATGAGGAGGGACTTCGTGCCTCTTCTTTCCTTTGTACAGCTCGATTATCTTCTCCGAGTAGATGGGCAATCTCTTGTACGGGTTTACCACAACGCAGAAGAGACCTGAATACGTCTGCAACACACACGCATCAAGCAGCGCGTCAGAAATCAATAGGGACGAAACAAATGGAGGCAATGTTAGGCCTAAATTCAGTCATGCAGAGAAATCACTTGAAAAATTGAAGCCGTCACGGGAATATGATTGACATGAAAAAATATTCATGGATTGCGATCGTTTCCCGTCACGGCTTTGATTTTATTTCGTTTTAAAAGCCTTCTGCATTAAGACCAATGAATCTTAACGTTCATTGAATGATGAGATCAAATAACGCAACGATACCAAATTATACAATTTCTTTAAATTGTATCATTTAAAGAAAATTACTTGTGGGTTTTGATGCTTTTTCTGCCTTTACCTAAATTTGAAAATACTGTAAGAGCAAAAGAAGGAATTACAATATGAAAAAACGACCCAGACGAAAAGTAAAAATTAAAAGTCAGCTAAGAAGCCTAGAGAGGTATGCAACAAATTACGTCATTCGCGGTTGAACTTCTTGCCTTTCCATTGCTTCAGCAAGAGTCGAGCATTTTCATTGAGATAAAGTTTCCGTTGTGAGGGGGAATGCAGGAACGTTTGAAACGAGGCCAGGATAAGATATGGATTGATTCGAACGTCTCTTTCTTGCGTTCCTATGACGTCATCGCATGACCTCATCAAGGCCAGTCAAGAAAAAAAATGAGGGCCCAGGGGGGAAAACGGTGGGGGGAAAAAAATGTTCATAGCGTATTGGAAAGGAATGGCGGATGAGTCACGCCATGGGGGAACCCTTCGCATACAAAAAAATTTAGAGGAAGAAAAAAAAGCTAAGCCTTCACGAAATGCTCGTCTCATGTGGCAACACTGGCAAGAAAAAACGTACTTATTTAAACACGGAGTCTTGCAATGGAGGATTCGGGATTCCGAGCACGCGCAGATGAAAGGAAGGAACCAGGACAAATATGGAAAGGGACGACTAAAATAAAACCTTGTGGGAGGAATAATTTGGACGGGAGGCGGCCTGACGAGGACCATCATCATACTATTATCCAGGGTCAGATTCGTTATTGACAGGTTACCCTTTGACCCGCGTGACACGTCTTCATTCTTCCTCAGCTCATTATTCATTCTGACCCGATTCGCAACGGAAAGTGACACGGGAGGGAAAGCGGGAAGGAAAGAAAAAAAAAAAAGGCATGGGAAAAGAGGCGGGAAGGTCGTCGTCACTGGAGCATGACTAGCGCGCCAAAAAAATACCTTCGGCAGTTTTTCTCCTTTCTCTCCTGTCATGCCACGAGGCAGGAGACGAATTTCTTCAAACACGTGCATAGAGCAAGAATCCCAACAAAAAACTACTTTTTCACATTTTGGATACATAGTATTCCGCACGAATCAATGGGAGTTGGTAATGGCTTTTTCTGAGGGGACTCCAGCGGAAAGAATGAGCATGATTCATGTAACACGTTTTAATCAAATCACTTGATATACCCTCAGTGATAGTACACCTGGAATATGACGCAATATAGCCCACAAATGACTTTACTACAAATTAGACAATGTAACAATGTATCAAAAAATCATATTTGAAATTTCCTTAGCTATACCCCAATATACAATTAAAGTTCTACAGCACTTTTTAATACAGTTTAACAATATTTCAGCTCAGTCTAGCAGTTTTAACTTAACATAGAAATTGTTCCATGATGGTGATGACCTGAACTTAGTTTTTCCATTTAAATTTTAATTTTTAGTTCAAAGCTTCTCCACAGTGAAGTGGAAAAACTCTGAACTCAAAAAGCTGCACAAGTCCAAGATACAGGCCTGGGCCTGTTTAAGAAACGAAAAACAAGAGTGGAGAAATACTCACATATATGAGACCTGAATAATATCGGTCCTTGAGATTGTGAAGAACTGAGGCCTCATTAAGGCATGTAAGGTCAGCCATATCTTCCACTTTGTTGAACTTGGGTGGGTTCATCTTCTGTATGTCGTCTTTAGCCACCATGACCCGCTTCCCGGTGTCTTGGACCTCCACTTCGACCTCATCGCCACGGTCACCTTTGATCGAGGCAGCCACAAACCCATGGGCCTCATGAGGAACCCAAACAAGACGCTTCTGTGTCCACTCTGCCTGTGCTGCTGGGTCGTTGAACACATTCCGGTCAACAACCAAAAACTTGAGGTCAGGATCGTTGGAGTGGTTTAATCGAGGATCGTCTTCCGCCATGGCACACCAATGTGATCACACAGTTATTGATGAGAAAAAGGGAAAACGAAGCTTTTACGTTCGTTTATAAGTTATCAGCACAGAATGCAATACGATGTCAGAAGATGCACAATGGAAGCACGGCTCATCTAGCACCACATTTCCAATATCACCGCAGTTGAGTCTGAACTGTCCTCTGCTTCCTGTGAGCATGGTACATACAATGCTTAAAAATAAATAAAAACGTTTCCATGGAAAGTCTACATATTAGGGCTAAGATACCTCTGCAACTTTCTTCAACTGTGCACTCATGAAATGAAGTCAATAAAGAATACACATTTGCCTCCCAAGAAAGAGACAATTTAAAGCTTAGATGGAGACCATTTCACAGGCTAGGCCAAGGGAAACACAAGAATGATGGAGCAGAGATTTGTCCTATTTCAGTCTCCTGTTGGAGCCAAGGTCTAAATATACAATACAAAGAAAAAGGCCTTTACAAACACAGGCACAACTATGAACATCTTATTCCAGAACTAAATTTCCCAGAATTTTTAGACTGGCTAATGTTACACACAAACCCGAAATTTTAACACTAGCCTCGAGTTAGGATTAGATTCAAAAGCAACGTTGGTTTACATGCCTACACTTGAACTCTCGTTTGTGTCTATTACCTGACAAACAGTAGACCTACGCCTAGATCACACGCCTAACGTTAGAATATCGCTGACTAACAAATCATGGTCAAGTCTAATGTTACGCTTGGCATCTGATAGGTCTGGACCAAGCCGATGACAATGAATACGGCACCTAACCAAGGACTAAACAGTTACGCCTGGTCAGATGCATAGACCGAACAAATAAGATTTTATGGCTGCAACCTCACTAGGCTTAACTGGGGCTTCGCCTATGGTAGGCGTTCTACCTCGAAATCAAAATATTCGTTTCAGATGTTTAAAATGCAGTAAACTTAACCTTCGGCTTTAATAAATATGAGATATATCGGGAAAGAGGGCAAATTCAGTACGAGAGAGGGGCGGCACGGATAGTGAATGAGAATGAGAGGCACCATGACAGGGGAGGACAGACGGGAACCATTCTGCCTGACGCCCGCTCTCTCACTGGTTCATCCGCCGTCACGTGACCCCCATACGCATCCCGCCCTGTTGCAAAAACACCTGTCAGCCTTCGAAAATCTCCAAATTCCTATCCCGTAACGATCAACCCTTCCCTCACTGGTCAGTTTGTGAAACGTGTTCCTCACGTTGGAGTGGTTCATGCCAGTCGGAATTCCTGAAGTGACGTTGCCGATGTTATTTCTTTTCATAAGAAATGTTCCCTTCTGAAACGTCTGACTGCTACTCTTATCATCGGCAACCATTTCCTCCTTGGCTCATAAAAAAAAAAAATTATTTCTTATATCAATGCAACCCGAACTTGTGTGCAAGAGCAAAGACTTCACTGAAGGCTTCACATATGGCTCTATACCTGTGCAGCAACCCTTCATGGTTTCCAGAATAATGCATAATTTCCCTTGCATGGGGGAGAGGGAGGTAAACTGTCAATTTCACAAGTCTAACTGATTCATTCACGAGGAGCACGGCCAACGACGTACAGTACAGTTTTTAGTCGATCCCTGTATCTTCTAACACCTCATGCTGGAGTGTCATGGCAACTCGATAATCCAATGGAGCTGAAGTCCACTTCAGTTTCACATCCTAACAGGAACTCCCATAGTGATAAGTTGTCCCTTTTTGGAATGCAAACAATCACTGCAGCGGCACGTGAATCACGTATTCCGATAATGTTTCTGCTGATAGCCAATGGCATTGGGGCACAAGGAACCGCGAAAACGGGATGTTTCCTTCTTTTGAGTAGGCTACATATCATAGCCCTGATATATTTCCGTTCAACCCATGAAGTCAACAAGACCCGCTACTAGGAAGAGAAGGTTCCAGCACTTGACATCATGATGCAGTGGGCCAAATTGTCTTCCTATGATTTTCGTATGAATCACATGTACATGTCGATGGTGAAGATGCCAATGCACGTATCACTAAATGCACGACGATGAGGAACAAAAATCCTTTTAAGAAATCGGAAGTTTGAATTGTTTTCTCAGAACTCAGCAGGTATAATTAAGTAATGAGGTACATTTACATTCGATTTCTTTTAACAGCAGATCCTGCCACCACTACATTTTAATGGTACCGGCGTCTCAAAACCTATAAATTTGGAGATACGTGGTATTGCATCTCAAGCACCGATATGCAAGGAACCAGAGTGCCCTTATTACTTTGTCACATATAGTTTATTTCTTTGGAAAAACTTCACTGAAATTGTTTCAGTCAATCTAAAATGGATGCAGAAATGGCACTACCAGCAATTCTGATCAACTGGATTCATTTCCTCATTAGTATATGCTATAGTGATGGATCACTTAAATCAGTAGAGGAAATACAATTGAATGAAGTCTAGGGCAATAAATGTAGAGAATACAAATGGCTGGGTGAATTAAAAAAAATGTATTCAGAAAGGAAATGTAGCAGGATTATGAAACATAACATTTGGTTGTAGCATAGGGTCAAAATGGTCAGGTTGATAGGTTCACTTTACCAATGCTTCAGTATGTTGTCTTACATTGTCAAAACATTCTGTATATGATTATAGAATTGATGGATCAAGTTTCTAGTCAATTCTTGAGGGGTTTTAGTAATTCTTCCTTGGTGTACAAGATATGTAACTTTCACACTACACATGACCCCAGAGAAAACCATTGGGGTGAGGTAAGGTGACAGTGTCCATGGAAGGGGGGGTCACCTCATTCTTTCCTTACTTCAGGGAAATATGCATGAAAAGATCTTCTGAAAAAAAAATAAAATAGCAGGGAGGGGAGCCCATCTCACTGATAAACAGTATTTTCAATAAAACTCTCTTCAAGAAAGACCATGAAAATTATTAAATTGTTCCATTCAATGCTCTGCATCATAACTTGGGCCTTTTTCTGACAGTCACAATTTAAAAAAAGGAGATCCACTGAAAATGGGTGCATTCAGTAGCCACACAAAAGCACTGGTGGTTACAATCTGATGCATGATTCATCCCCCTGCAGTTTCCTTTTCTAATTAAAAATTGTGGGGAAAAATCAGTCCAGCCTTTAGTGTTCACCCTGGACAGTACAAACATACAGTCCATACAACTGCCCAGTCCCGTAAATCTTTATTTGGCACTCTGTTCAACCCTGAGACTGTAATACAGTCCCTTAAAAAAAAAAAAACTACTTTTGCTCTTTGATGGTGTATGTGGTGCTGATGAATAGATTCTTCTTGTAACAAAGCCTCGATGAGTATCTTGACATTAGAAGAACATGAAAGCATGACATGACTTTATTGAAGTCTTTCATGATAGTTGTTAAGAAAATATCCCTTATATTTCAGATTGAGCATTTTGTCTCTCACAGTCACTATGGAGCTCACAGAGGCACAGATACAATCAAAAGGTACCAGATGGGTTCCATAATGCCCAAACATCAAAAATACTCTTCCTGCTGTTGAATACTGCAGTGAGGATATATTCCCATAGCTGCACTTGCAGTAGCAGGTGAAGGGTGATTGATGACTGCAGGTGTGAATGCAGATGTCTGTATTACACACACACACATGCTGTGAAGACCAGCTGCCACAAGCATGGTAACACCATTGGACTGCCTTCAACAATTGAGTAAAGCCCATTAAGGACCAAAGCAATGGCCAGGTTGATCACCGGAGGAATGAGAAATATCACACTGTTTCAATTTCACCTTTTGCCTTACGTCGGGTACCTTGACCAAAAGAGTTCTTTTCTGGCCCTTCATGGCTGGGGTCACTTATGTCATCATGTCTGGAAAAGAAAAAATCCAAGGGCTCCATGAAGACATGAATGACCTTCTGAAAGAAATCATGAAACAAGATAAAGCATTACTGATTGATGAAAGAAGTCTCATCAGTGGGAATGTCAGGAGAATCCGATTCACTGTAGTGTGCATCCAAAGAGGTTTCATATTGATGGGGAGGGGATGCATTTCTCAGATCACGCTCAACACTTGAAGGCTGCATTTCAATATCAACGTGCAATGTAATACTGGCTTGTCATGGTTCTCATGAAGTATCTTGAAGGGCAAGGACAGATCAGTTCAGATGGGGATACAGCAGAGATAGCAGTAATAAGTACATGTATTTTTTTAAATATGTATGTATATGTACTGAAATACAACCCATTTACTTTGCATTTTTATTATGTTACATCAATTATATTAAGTGTCTAGTCGAATTCGAGAACCTCTAAGGAAAGTGTCTCAAGCACTGAAACTATGAGATCTGAATTGCAACTTAATTATCAGATTAAGGTAACTTCAGTCAATTCACAATTCATTTCAGGAGTTCATAGAACGATTTTAATTTGATTCATGACTTGCTGAATTATTGGAAAACTTTGACCTCATCTGCAACACTGAAAGTTTACAATAAAAAAAACCTTGTTTCTGGCCATCAATCAAAAGATTCAATCTGTCATGATTCAATCATTTTTGCTGTGATCCTCAATTTGATACATGTCAACATGAAAATTCTGAAACAGATCTCTTCCATATAACCTAATGGGGATTATGAAATCTGAATGAGGTCTACCAGGCCATCACATGTCTAATTGCAGGGTGCATAATAATAGCTTCCTCCTCATACAGGCAAACCAGCAGCATTACAAGTCTCAGGTATAATCACTTGAAAGTTTATCTCAAATCAAACTCATCCTGCTTTTGATTTCCAGATTTTGAAGTAGAAATACCAAGAAAAAACTGTGCTGATGCAGGATGGAGGCCCATACACTAAATTTGCTGAGGATGTAGGATGTCTTCATTTATTTGAAAGTCAACAAGGCTACAAAATCCATCAAATCAAGGTTCCAAGCTATATTCTATGATGAAGCTAACACCTAAAATGGACAATACCTTCAAAAAACCAAGTGAATTTCTGAGTTTACTTTGTGAAAGCTCTTTTGGGTGAAATTCATTGGTTCATCTGCCATCCCTTGGGAATAAGCTCATGAAAACCATCTGCAAGAGACAACCAGCCCAAAAAATGAATCAGTGAGGAATTCAACCATGTCTCAATGACCAGGAAGGACAGCATTTGACAGCCCTCCTTCCCACTACCAGCAGGAGCTCATGTCCTTTCTCAATGTCTAACTTATTTTCAACTACTGCTGATGGTATTGCTTAAACTCAACCAATTCTGATGAAATTTTGAGAATCAATGGAAACGTTCTCATGTATGCATAGTGAATGTTTCATGAAAATAGCCTGTGTGAGCCAAGATATTTTAATCAAAAGGCATTGATCTTTTTTTTGGCCATACTCTGTATATACAGAGAGTTCCAAAAATAGTACTCTGATTTGGTACATCTTCATTTCCATGCAGACATGGCTGAATGACACAAGTGGAGTATGAGGGGTGTATGAAAAGTTCTAAGCCTGAGGCACTTCCGATTGCTAGATTGATAGACTCCTTAGAGATAAGAAAATTAAAATAAGGAAAATATAAGGAAAATAAGATTGGTGTATTGCAATCAGAAGTGTCTCGGGCTTAGAACTTTTCATACACCCCTCGTACCTCTGTGAAGTGCATGGCTGGGAATTTTTTGTGTGCATGCTTAGTAATGTAAATGATCAATGTAAGAAGCATGTGAACTGATCACAGCCTGTGGGTTCCTAATCACATTGCACATCATCAGTAGAAATACATCCTGTGGAATTTCTTCCAGGATTCAATTAATTTTGGCCTTCAAGATGGAAAGACCTTGGGGAGTGGGATTAATAATTTCAATATGGATCATACTGATGTTTCAGCAAGCACCAGTATTAGCTACTAGTTTTGCATTGTCAACCATTGGCAGGGTTGCAAGTTGCTGATGTAGCTGTCCAAAGGAGGGGGAAAATGAAAAAAATTATAAGAGCACACGAGTATGGCTAGGCACTGGCCTTCCTGTCTAACTGAAAGCCACTCCTGCTGACCTCTCCCAGATAAAAATATTAATTGGATTATACTTCAGCCTGAGTGTAGGAACTTGCAGAACCAGTCTGAACCTCCTTTACCAACTGGAATCTTCCTTCTCTGTCTTTCATTTTCTCCAAAAAATGGAAAAAAATAAAAGTAAAAATGAGCAGGTGAGTAGGGAGGGTGAAGGAGGATTCCTCGAAAATTCCATTCTAAAGAAGAGCATGAACTCCACAACATTGTGGTGTTTGTGTGTGGTTGCATTTCAGACAATGCAGCTCCAGCTATAGAATATCTATCCCCACTTTCCCTTCTCACCTAATCTCTCTCTTTGTGATTTTTCCTTTTCCATTACAGAAAAGAAGAACTTAAAAGTAAAGATCCCACTTCCAGTCCACAGAGGAAATCAATCTAGCTATCAAAGATAAGACCCATGGTGTAAACAAAACATTGGATGGGTGGAGAATCAAAGAACTGCTGAAACTGTGCAAGAAGAATCTGATAGCATATTAGGAAATCTAAATGCCATGTCCAAATGCCATATCACACCATCAGCACATGAAATCAATACATTGTATACATTATTGATTTAATTAAAGAAACCTTTCTGATGACTTATTCACAGTTGGAATTAATCATCTACCCACTGCCTGGAAGTGTTGTATCCTTGGTCTCATTTGACTCATGTTCACAACAGGGATGTCAGAAAGTAGGCACTCTCCTGCACTCTTCTCAGAAGAACCAGGTTGATCCAATGAAGGTGCTGACACATCTGTCAACAAAGAGACAATGTCTGAGCAATGTAAAAGTAATGTTCAAGGTAGTTAGCTGAGAAAGGCCGCATTTTACCTAGGGGTCTCGCACCAAGCAAAAGGGAGTCATGAGCAAGTGGTCTCTTCAGCTTGGCTGCAAAACCAGGTACTTTTGCTCTTGCACCCATTGGAGAGTGGGGATCCCTCTTGCATCCATCATGGGCATTGGAGCGATGCAATACACGACCTACCCCAAGCAAATGCAGCACCCATATTACAGCATGCATTTGGCAGTACTTTAATATCAGGCAATGAAAAGTATTTGGTACTTTATGTTTTAAATCAAGAAAATGAATAATGCAATCCTTACGAGCAAAGCCATGCTCTGTAGCAGTAATGAGGGATGAAGATGATGAGCTGTATGCAGAACCAGGTAAATCCAAAAGTCTGGCAATTTGCACAACCTTCCTTTGCCTTGCCTTCATACGGCCTTTAGTTAATCTAGAAAGATAATAAGAAGGCATAAGAAACACTAAAAAAAAACAATATGGGTCAACAGAAATAGGGACCTTTGTTTGGCAGCCATGCAGCGGATGTGATCATCAAAGATGAACCTTGCTGAAAGTAGTGGGACACGATTAGGGACAGAGGAGGATGCTGGCCGGTGAATTGTGATGTGCAAGCATCTGGAATCTTCCTTATCCCCACTTGCTTCCACATCCTGTAAAAAAATTCATTTGCACATTCTGCTATATGACTTCTAAAATAAGAGCAACATTGAGAATTATAAGCAAACCTGGAGAAATCCAACAAATTTGGCCACTCCCCAGCCAAGTTTCTTGGTATCAGGCTCAACTAAAATGATTTGCAGAACATCTATGACAAGGAAACGACGTAACTTTGTCCCATCTTTGAGCATCACTGTGCAGGAGATCAGGTCACTGTTGTCTGCCCACGAGTCAAAATGTCAAAACAGTGTGATGTGATATGAATATCTACATTTGTAGCAGGCCTAGGCCTTAAGCTAAGACTCACTGAGGTCAAGAGTTTCATCTACTTGGATACAAGTTTGGGGATCAGTGAGAGGGAGTTCTACTTCAGGTTCATCTCGCAAGCACAGGCTCAAGCCCCGCAAAAGAAAAAACACACGAATTGCTCTCCGAGCCCTCTCCACCTTCACAGGATGAAGAACCACAAGATTAAAATTAGGCCTATGCTTGAAAAACTTCTCAATAGTAACACCCCCTAAGATCAAGCATATGCCAAGGAATTTAGATTAAGATAGAAATTGTTTAAAGTCTCAGCAATTTCAATATAATGGGAACAATATAAAAAATGTACAAAATGTTTCTCTTGAGTCAGAAAGAATTAATGGACAGAAGACAAACCTCCCCGCATGGCAAGCGCTTGTAGAACTCAATTCCTGTAAAAGGTGTTCCAGTCGGTGGGAGCAGGAGGCTTGCATCCATCATCAGGTACTCAACATTCAATGGCTTTCTCTCCATTTCCACATATTCATCCTCAAACATGTCTAAGAAGATTTCCTCACTCTGCAAAAAATACCAGTCCACAAGACAGGTCACTCTCATTTAATCAATGCAAGAAAAACAGGGGTTTATAAGGAAGGAGAGGAAGGAAATCTTGGGTGACTAAAGGGCATTTCACACTTTGTATGTCATGCATCCTAAGTGTCAATGCTTAGGCAGGTAGGCAGACTTGGGATGTAAGTGGACATGTATGTCCACTTACATCCAATAGTTACAAAACACAAGGCTAGTGAGTGGAGATGGGATGAGTTCAATTGAAGATGTAAACCTTGCATTTTGTGAAAACCATTGGATGTAAGTGGACATGTGTGTGCATATGTGCATCTGCCTACCTGCCCAAGCATTGATGCAAAGGATGCATGCCATGCAAAGTGTGAAATGTCCAAAGGTTGGGATGGGGAGAACCTACAACTTCCAACCTTGTAGAAATTGCGTAAGGTGAGCACGGCTTCTTCCTTGGCACCCTCAATAGCAGCAAGGTGTTCATCCTGGAGGTATGATCCACTGTTTCCTTTTACCAACCGCCTCAGGAGGATGATGCTCAGCTCTAGCGTTGCTAACCGGACCTTGCTGTCTGCATTTATTTGAAAAGCATTATGTGAAACAAGTATTTCAAGAGCATTCTATTGGCAGAAGCCCAGCACTTACTTCCCTCAGAGGCACAGGTAAGAATGTGAAGAAGACGTTCCACAAGATGAATGTTGTAGCGGTGTCTCACATCAGAGTTCCTGCTTGGGATCAAGGCTGATTCCAGTAACTCACTGTCTATTCCTGAATAATGGGTAAAGCCATGCTTTTTCTATTAAAATAGACATAAAAGAAAATTCCAGCAAATCACACATGAATATATCCTTAAATCATATGCAGAAGTCTTAGTATGGCATTTGCCTCTCACTCTGAAGGTGGGAAAATCCACAGAACAACTTAAAGAGGGTTTCTCTACAAAAATGTACCACTTTTGCAAAGTTGTGAGAAGGACCCCATTCAAACTTCCCAAACCTCCTCAAAACCAGTTGTAGGGTATTGAATATGTATTTTTTAGAAACCTTTATTCTGTTCACCAATACTATGTGACCACACAAAACCCTCTCGTGTTGGATGACACTGTTTAACAGTACCAAGTATGTTAGTCTTGGGCTTTCTCCCAAGTAATCAAGATTAATCATTGATTATGGCATGGTAAATAGTCAAAATACTATCACAGCCTCTCCTTTTGAGCTTGATCTAATGATATATTGAAAGTAAATTAGATCTTACATGGCAAGACCATGGAATAATTATGGATGCCCCCCTTTAACAGCAAGTTCTCATTTTGACCTATTTCACAGGGTTTTTTTTCAGACTTACCATCTGTTTTCCATGAAGCAGCAAAAAATAAATAAAAAGCAAGATAATGTATTGTGACACATAAAACATCAACATGAAAATGATGCTAATTTAGGACTTTAGCACTTGCCCTTGTTATGGCTGAGAGCATAGAGAAGACATAGTGCAAAAAGAGCAGAGTAGTCATTTTCGGACACCTCCAAGGCTGTGAAGACGGCCTCCAGAAAAGGGCGATTGACAAGGGAAAACTCTCCCCCCTCATCTCTTTGCTCAACAGTCACTCCATCATGGGAGTCTTGTGAGGCCAGGCGTTCTTTCTCCTCATCAGTGATGTTTGTACTGGCATCTGATCCTGCTCACAACATATATTGCATGCTAGCATCCATTATCAACACCACTATCCTAAGTCAACTGCTCAAGCCAAGAAGTTTGCGACAGTATTTCATCCTGCTATTGGCATGTGTTTCATGATATATATATTTCTTTGGGATAAAATTACTGGCCATGATATTAAGTACCAAAAGGTGATGGCTTGACCAACAAATGAATGAATGATTGCATGAATTTTCGGCATAAGCCTGGTCCTTAAATGAAACCCCACATCCAGAAGTCGAGTGGAGTCAGGTCCTGGGAGGCCAATTGATAGGCCCAACCTGGCCTTTCCACCTATCTTCAAAGCCAAATGATTCTTCACTTTGGAAATATTTCCTTCACAGATAGAGGAGAAATTAACTAAGGCAACATGTTCCTATAAAAACAGTGCATTGGCATTATCAGAAAAACCACTTGGAACGGCAAAAATTAACAGAAAAAAATCGAAAATGGGGCATCTGTTGTACCCTAAACATCACTTTTATTTATTTTTAATGTTGCCTTTCATTTTGTGCAGGCTCATCCCATTTCTTATTAGTATTTCATGCAAATTTTCATGTTGTTTCGTCAATTAACACACACTCACTCATATGTCAAACAATTTTGCAAATTAATGCCTTCCTTGCTGAGTTGGAGCTGTTCAAAGTCATCCAGTGACTTTTGACTCACCCTGTATAATGGCAGCCACACCAGCAATCACCATTAAAAGAATGATTTTTGGATGATTATAGACTGAATACATCATGTCATAGAAGAATGTGCACAAAATTTAACACATTTCACGCCTACTTGCAGAATTTATGGCACCCCAGCAAACAATTGAACAAAGCTGCTTTGTGGCATTGTAGAGGGAAGTCTTTAATCATGCAAAAAAAATCATTCATTGAACACTTTTATTTCATCTGTATCTATAATTCATACTATAAATAAAGCTGGTAATGGTAATTAAGCTAATTTTTCTGGGGCACCCTGCATTGCACAAATAAGCAGTAATGTTAGTGGAAGTAGCAATGATGGTGTACATGGGAGAACAGTTCCCTCAATCATCCATGAGAGATCTTAACTTTAGGTAAGTTTGTGCCAGCCAAGTAGAGAAATTGCTATCTGATGACAAGGCACTTTATTAACTGAGGACTCAAAAGGAATTGCTAAGGTGATTCCAACACAAAGGTGATATATTCCTTTCTCATGCTGTCACTCATGATGACTCATGGGCATTATGAATCTAAGAGCAAATGACAAAGGTTTAATTGTAAGCACACTATCTCTTCCATCACAAAAGAGTTCAAAGCACAGCCATTTGTGAGAAAAATGCCAACCATGCTTTGGAACATGCAAGGCCCAATAACAAAATCAATACCAACAAAATTTTCTAACTGACTAGTGCCTTGTGCTGTGACCTTTTAGATAAATATTCATTACCTGACATTTGCCAAAAAATGATGTAGAATGCAATCAAAGGGTGTGCTATACTATAAGGATAGTGTTCATCTCCATACAGCATGTTTCACAATAGAATTACATAACAAATTGAAATGATATGTTCTTCTACATCCCCCCCCCCCCTTACAGTGCTGACCTTTCCCCCTTCAGATTTTCATCTGCTTTAGTCACTAAGAGATGCAATGTGGCCAAGAAACTGACAGTGACAAGAAAGTGAAAGAAGCAGTGCACCAGTGACTTGCACATCAACTGAAAGACTTGTGTGCAGCTGGCAAGCACAAACTTATGAATCATGGAGGAAATGCATTTTTGCCCAAGGAAAATACACAGAAATGTAAAGTGAGAATCAAGAATCATCATTCTTCCTTCAGAGATTTTACAGTGTCTATGGTACTAATGACAGGCTACAAAAGTCTCTTTACTTATTGAACTATCCTTATATTATTTGATATTAGACTAGTGTCTGCAATAGGTCTGCGAAGAATTCATAGAACAGGTATATTTTTTCTTAACAAATCTTACACTGATGCAGCAAAAAACGTATATAATAAATTTGCTCTTTACCCGTGTGAAATGAGAATATTTCATAATCTTAGAGCAATCACATTTCCTGTTAAATGTCCTCATTGACTCGCCATCATAGCCTTCTTAAATGGATGAACATTGGTACTCTGCAGTTCAATATTCCAAAAACTTATATTAATCCACTGTATGAAAAACTCAATTTTCATTCCTTAAAAAAAAGACAAACATTTCTTGGAACTGTTTTAGAAGCAAAGCTTCAACTATCCTCTCTAATTAAAGAGCCTCAACAGCAGCCCAATGAGCTATTTGACTTAGCAATTGCTTGCAGGTTCCACAAGGGAAAACTTACGTGAGTGAGAAGAGATGCCCTTGGAGTGCCATGAGGACTCAGTGGCAACTTCAGCTTCCTCATTTCTATGAATCTCCTCATCCAAGGATTGCTCTAGGGTTTCCAAAGGAGCCATGAACATGGGTGGTGAATTCTTCCCTGAGGAATTCTAGGGAGAAAATAAAAACTCAGGATTTGAAATTTGCTTATTTCTAGATCAGCTGGAAAATAACAGAGACTAAATCAACTCACATGATTATCTGAGCCAGAGGAAGATGTCCCACCATCAAGGAATATACTCATATCTTTGTTGAGAATGATCTGAGCAAGTGTCTGGACCAGAGGTTTGTGAGTGATGATAAGAAATACTTGTGACAGAAGAAAGAGGCTCACCACACTGCTGATATGAGGTTTGGAATCCTACAGGGAAATCAGCAAAATGCATTATTTGAAATCTGCCTGAAGTTGAACCCATGATCAGATACCATGATAATGCGAATTTACATGCTTTAGGTATCAGGGTCTACGAGTAAGTCATGGATTAACATAAAACTGGAATGCTGATTAGGTCCCAAGTCCTCCTTCATGTACTGATGATTATGTTCAGAAATATAGGTACTAATAGGCTAGCATGGTGAATCACCATAGGACAGTGCTTCCTTTGCAGCCAAAGGTGGATGATCATACTGATGCAGATGGAGAATTCCAGGTTTCATACATCAGAAGTCAGAGGAATGAAACCTGGATTGCTTATCAGAACATATCAGAAATTGACACACCAAATATTAAGTTCATTTGACCTCTGGTTCCTGAGATGTCAAAAAACCATCTCAAATGCATTTTCACTGGGTCCCTTATAACTGAAGAGAGCTAGAGGTCTCCTTTTAAGCTTTTGGAAAACTCTCTTCAAGACCGTTTCACAAGTGTAATTAGGTTTCAGCTAAGTGCTGAAAGATTACCTTAAAAATGTTCACATGATGTTGGAGGCATCATGAAATGATTAGTTGCAAAGCTGAGCCTCCGTGGTCATGTTATCTGAGTCAGACTTTCTTTAATAGGCTCAAGGGGATGTAAAAGCTATCAGACTTAACTAAGTTATTGAAAAAGGACTCAAAGCAATTGAAACGAAGCTACAGAGGCAGCTTGCAGGTGTACAGCAAATCCTTAAAAGTCTGTGGCTTCATTCCTGTGTCCTTTGCAGCTTTCAGAGTCAATTCATTTTCAAAATCAATACAAACTCAAGTGCTGCTTGAGGAAAAAACCAAGCTGATGAATGTGCTTTAGGGCATTTGTCTGGTGAATTTCAAGTTTCTCGCCAATTTCTGTAGATGTTTGGCGAGGATCTGCCTTAATGAAGGCCTGCAGTTTATCATCATCAACATCGGAGGGGCGTCCAGACTGTGATTCATCCTTCAAGCTGAAGTTACCAGAACGGAATCTGGTAAAACATCTTTGACATGTGCAATCAGTAATAGCGTCCTTCCCAAACACTTCACATAAATTTTTATTTGCAGTCGTTGCATTGTTTCTTTTTTGGAACTCAAGCACACAGTGTCTCAAATGCACTTTATCCACAGACATGTTGAATGCACAGTAGTTCATTTTGGACTGAATGGTTAAACTAAATTCATGTCAAACGTACTCTATAACCCTAACCCAAAAATAAAACCAGTTTTTACAAGTGTGTGCAGCTTAGTTCACATATGGGAAACAGAATTAGTCTACCCTCAAAAAACTGACAGAACTTTTGCTTAGACCCAATATTTCAATATCAGTTAAGTGAAATCAAATTAATTCAATTTTATTCTATTTCATCTATCTTTTCTTATAAAGCTATTACTCATGATTGAACAGTGAATCATATCCAATGCATCTAATACTCATGTAATGCATGTACTGGAACACAAATCTTCACACACATTTCTCTTCTCACTAACTGCTCTGAGAAACAGAGGGAAAAGCCCCATTGTCACATTTTCATCTCGGGCCTTCAGGCTCTTTGTAACAGTAGTTGACTCACTATCATCTCAAATTTTCCCAACAAGACAGCATAGTGCCAGGAAGGAAAGAAAAGATGTCGAGTATAGGTTTTCTAAGTCAAATGTGGTTGAAAGGAAGTCAAATGTGTCACTGTGATGGATGTAGGATTTTAGGGAAAAGCATGTTTGACATAAGGAAAGTCAAATGTGATAGATACACAAGGTATACCATACTCATGTTATGGGGAATGTTTTTTCATTGCTTTTTCACAATGTGTGGTTTCAGGTGCATTTATATATGTTGCTCCTCTTGCAATTGGCAATTACTGATATATCAGGGTTAGCCATAGACACATGCTACCACCAACCCTTTAGGTCAGGAGGCCAAATTTCACATATGAAAAACAGAGGAAGATTCAGGGCTCTTCTTAACCCTCAACTGACATTCTTGTTTTTTCATTGCATAACATGTATCCTGGGGTCAAACTGACCCCAGCAATAACAAATCTCAACGAGATGCAGTTTTTTTAAAAACCAATAGTCATTTATCGTGGCAGTATCCAAGCAGCATGGTGGTAGCATATTCCTAGGACTAACCCTGACATATCAATAATTGCCAAATAATATTAATAACAATTGGAGTACCATATGCAAATTTAGGTACACCTTGTGTACCTATCGCATTTGACTTTCCTAATGTTAAACATGCTTTTCCCTAAAATCCATCATCCACCACAGTGACACATTTGACTTAGAAAACCTAAATTAGGATGCTTGAAATGGTGCATACCTGACTTGTACTTTGTTCTACAAGCACCTAATTGTGCCATGAGAAAAAAGGGGCAAAATTCCCAAGACAATGTTAGATACAAGGATCCTCCACTCACCTCCAGTTGAGAATGCCGCCTTCGCTTTGTGAGGGAATACACATAAAGGGGTATGAGGAGACGATTGAGCAGATGATCCACTAGAACTTCATTTAATGCAGCAATCTCAAGGCAAAGAATGTCATTCAAATAATGCAGATGATCCAGATGCTCAGCCACCAGATCTGACAACCTCCCCCGGCTCTGATGACTGTTGAGAAGCAACAAATATTTATCAAATATTGGAGAATTATAAAAATAGAAGCAATAGAGGTCTAGCTCCTAATAAAGAATCTAGAAGAAATTAAAAAGTGCATAACCCAATATGGGTTAAACTTGGCTCAGAGGCTACCTTTCTGCAATAACAAGAAAATCTAGTATCTCAGACCCTACACCAAGCTCATGCTGAAGATTTTTTTGGATTTTGACTTTAGGTGAATGAATGTGGCTTAGATAGATAAGGTGCGTCTCACTAATCAAACTGTCAGCAGGCCACTTTTCAGATCAGTACACTATTGATAGTTTTAACGATTCTGGCCATTGTGTGCTCAATTACAGATATTAGCTGTACTGGGCAATCTGGCAACAAACTTCACAAACACTTGGACATTGCTTAAGAGCCAACTATTTCAAATGAAGTATATGTCTTTATTTTGATTGAATGCTATTAAATTTGGTGCAAGGTGCCCCCAAAAATAGGAAGCCCCAATCCATAAATCTAATTATAACACATAACAGGGGCACCTCTGATACAAAAACAGTGTTCTTGATGAAATTTGATTTCTTAATTTTCTGTAAAAAGAAACTCAATATTTCCCTATTCTAGTTGATGGTGGCCTGAAATTGAGTGTACCACAGTCCAATTGTGCACAATAAAAAAGGCTATTCTGAGGGTAGCAAACATATACTCTTTAAGATATAGGAAAGATGCCCTACTCTGCATCATGTCGGACACAGGTATCCAACTCCAGGACATGGTTTCCAATGAACCACACCAGATTGGAGAAATATGGAGCTGCTGTTCTGTTGCGGATAAACATGAGCATGGACTGGTCCCCAACCTTGTAGACATTCAGAGTGAGGGTCCGCACAGCTATTCGTACCATACTCTCTGAGTGGTTGAAGAACTTGATGGCTTCGGTATATAGAGGGAAATCATCAGTATGCTGCTGGAGGAGAGAAAGAGGCACAAGCACTAATGAATAAAACAGTTAAAGGTCATGGATCTCTATCAAAAATGAGAAACACAGACCTCATTGTAGAAGAAATGAATAGTGTGTTTGTTCAGTTTGAGGGAAAGGGTCTTGAGGAATGAAATGTAGTAGGCCATAACTTCTTCATCAGAGAAGTCAAACTTATGAACAATGATGGAATTGACATGGTTGTTTGACAGGAGGTAATCTGGTAGAGGGAAGATAAGTTTTAAACATAAAATAAAACAATAAAAACTTTTATCTAAAACTCAAGAAACACCTCTTCCTTGAACCTAATTATTAATAATTGTATTCTAAACTCACATAAGGATGTTTCATTCCGAATATTTTCAAACAGAATGTTGAGGGTTTGGAGGAGCTGGACACATACATAACTTCCACATTTCTGCTTCATAATTTTCAAGAAGAAAGAGAGCATGTTCCTCTCCAAAAAGAAGCTAAAAAAAAAAGAGGAAAATAAAACAACTTGCACATGATATCTCATGATATCAACAAATTATTTTTCATATAAAATGAATAACTCACTCAAAAACAGAGCTGTCATTTTGATCTCCCCAAATAAGAATCTCTGCAATTGCTCGGAGTGTCTCCACCAGGAGACTTTTATTCTGCTCTATCACAATCTGGTTCTTTGCAAGTACATTATGCAAGTACCTGCACAGATAAAAAATAACTAACATAACAATTTTTCACTTTACATTGAAAATTTGCAGACAAAACTCACTTGAGGTGCTCCAGGGAATGTGGATTCTTAGGCTTCCAAACTGCACCACCAAACCAGTTTCTTCTAAACATGCTAGCCAATTCAACAAATTTTTACTCAATATTTCATTGCAAGGGTCATGCTATGTTCACATCAATAATTTTCAGCTTTTGACATCTCGAGTATGTCCTTTATGAAATAATCTTCCAGAATGTCTCTTTCAAGAATTAGCCATTGGTTTGGTCATTGGTCATTGCACCTATATTTTTGACAAGGCACAGAAGATACAAGGTAACTTCTCCTCTCATCATAGTATTCTCAAACCTCTGGTAAGATGAACTTTGTTGGTTGTGGTTTAGATGGAAGAATGAAGGAAGATATTGAGGCTTGTGGAAATACCTTTCTGCACAAAAAATTTGACAGACCTGTAGGAAAAAGTTAAATAGACACAAATCTGGAGCTCATTAATTGCCTACATTCAACACTATTTTAAAGTTTGCTTTGCCAATATCATGGAGGAACTAGGTTATAAACCTACCTCAACCTTAAACTCAGGTATCACATGAACAAAACATTTAGATTCAAATAATAATATGAAGAAAAGTAATGAGGGAGAGTAAAAATCTAATTGGAAGGGATATACACCTATAGTTGATCTATAACCTTTGCCTTTTAAGACAATTTACAGAGCAGAAATTGGTATTAAAAAAATTTTAAAAAAAAGTCAAATTTCCTAGAATCTTTGGTGAAGGTCTGTGCAGATTCATGGTGTGTGTCTTTTCTCCAGCTGTTTACTGTTGTCTGCAAAAAAAGACACCTCCTTCCAACAGTGTGACCATGTCATTGAAATGTCACTCTTGGGCAAGCAACTGTCTGCAGAGCAAAGCAAACTGAGAGAGTGTAGAACAGGCCAGCACAAATATGACATGGGATGCTGGAAGTGTCAACAACCAGCAGAGCCAGCAGAACTGCTTAGAAAAAAGATGAATCCATGAAAACTCTGGCCCTTGTGCAGCAAGTCCTCTCATAGCAAGAAATGTTCATTCCAAGCAAAACCACCTATGCAATCCTTCAGGCTTAAATAATAATTAAAAAAACACCTTCAAAGAGAAGCACAAAATTATTATACATGAGCCATTTGTCAAGACTCTTGATTTTGTCATGCACTTGAGCAAAATAACACAAGATTTCAGACTTTTGTTCCCCTAAAATAATTCAGTTTTTATTTATATTTTTTTTTTTGGAGGGGTACTATGATTATTCCCTCAATAAAATTCAAATTTTTTTACTAATACCACGTTGTGTTCCATATAGCTACATCATGTAACATGTCATCCAGGTGATATAAAATGCATATGTTCAGAAGACTGAAGCTGTTGGCCTAGTAAGGGCCAAAAAGGCTGAGAAGTGTTTCACTTACCTGTCCCTATCATCCTCATTATCTGATTTTTTCACTCTTGACTATATTCAGGGTTGACCTGGATCCAATATCAACCTATAGCTCATACTCTCTGCATATCCCCACTACTTGCCTCTCCTTAGAGAGCAAAAATGATAGTAAAATGACTAATGGTAATACCTGACTAATACCTTTAATGTCTATACTGAATGTTGTGGGTTTGATCCCTCCCAGTCATGCTTTCTTTCATGAATTTTATATGAATTGTGCAGTCGGAAAGCCCAATGGTTGGACTGTATATAAAGAAGAAGGGGACCCACTAGAGTTGAGCTTTGAAGAAGCTAGATGTGGCAAGATTTACCATAAAAAGGACAAGAGTGCCCTACTTATAGCAATAAGCTTCTTTTTTAAGTAGGGTACCAGTACTAATAATTTTGCAATTTGTATTGTCCCAGCTGTGTATGACAAACCAGTCTTTGGAGTGAACCTGCAACAATAAGCCTATTACTGTAGCAACTGGGGGTTCAGTAGTACATGATAGAAAATGAGTGGTCTTATCACCAGAGTGAGAAGGGTGTTGAAATTCAACTGCCCCCTACCAAAGAAATCCCGACTGCGAGGTTTCAAAGGGCCGACACCTCTAGACCAGCTGGAGGCAAACTGCGAAGCTTTGGGGTTAGGCAAACTCATTACGCCACATTAGCTCAACATTGCTGTTAGCGTTTTCGAGGCTAATACCTAAGCATACTATAGATAGCTTATCGAATTTCCTCGCAGCAGATCATCGATTGGGTCCAGGAAATTTTTTGTTTAACTGCAAAAATGATTTACATAGACAATGTCCAAAACTTCGTAATTTCTACGTTAGGCCTATCTTCTTTCCAATCCCAAACATCTCAGGTTCCATGATGCTCGTCATTGCCATGACGTCGTCGACGAACCGCGGACTGAGAGATGCAGGATGAGAAGTGAGAGTATTCTATAGTACAGGTTTCCATGAATAATACACGCTCTAATCGAATGAAATCTTTCTTAAAGAAAATACTGGAGGATGGATCTCAATTTTTGCAAACATTTAGCCCTAAAATGTTTTTCTAGCACAATCGTTCCTTTTCGTGCGTACGGCACGTGGTCCAAAGCGAACTGCACTGCCGTAGTGCAGTTGAATCAACGAGGATTCTCGCTGTAGGTTTTGGAGCCCTCCGCTTTAAAGTCAAAACCGTTTAAGTCCACTTTCTTTCCAAAATCGATTTTGAAGAAGAAAAAAAAGTCCATCGTGCTTTCATTCCACTTAAAATCTTAGTCCTGCAAATCCGGAACCTTGATTTTGGTGACCATCAGTGCAAAGTTGAATTATTTTTTTAAGAACAAACCGAGGGAATTTTTTGTTCCCTTCTCTTTTTGGATTCGCAAAGTTTGGCGTGTAGAGAGGTTAGAAGATGGCTATCAGCTTTTCATGTCTTGCTTCGTTGTGGGTTACTCTTCGTGCTGATGCAGAGTAGCTTTATCTAACCCAATCCTCACTAGTTTACCTTTTTTGCTCATTCATGCTGTGTTGAGGTGAATGAATATCTCTAGCTATTGTGCCATAGGTCATTATTGGCGTGGATATTGCCTCTGGAGGAGGAGCTGCTGTTTATATCTACTGCAGCCACAATGCCCCAGTAGGTCATGATAAATAACTATTACTATAACCTAATAGTTATTAACTGTTAGGGTTATTGATGGATTTAGATTAATGTCCAATAAATTTGAAATGGCGTATTTTATGACAGCACTTGTGAGCTGAGCCAATAGGCATTTAGGTATGTACCATGGGAATAATTAATGACAGCTGTAGCATTGAATATTGGAAGAATTTCAATTATGCAATAGGGAATGGAATTGCTGTGGAACTTATGTGAGTGCTAGGAAAGAGGAGGAAGGAATTCCCAAAGGACATCTCATTGAAGAAAAACAAATATTGCTGTAACCTACAAGAAGGGCTCCAGTAACAGGACTTGTTTAACAGGTGCATCTGTTACTGCAGAGTATGAAACAGGCATTTTATGTTGAATACCTAGGTTATCTATACATTACCTGAATTTTATACTCTGCCTGTAACATATTCATGCCTTCATCAGATCTTGGTAGTCTGCAAGACAAAGTTGCCAGAAGAACTGAGGACAATGCATGAGCCTGTGGCAGTCATTCTATGCCATTTCCATCCTTGTTGATCTGCCCTTACCTGTAATGTATTTATGTCTCATCTGAGCTTCAATGTGTTCTAGACCTTGGAGTGATGATATTGTTTATGTATGGTATGGGCTTGAGCCATGTCAGAACAACATAGAGCTAATTCATAAGTGCTTTGTCCTATTTATTGTTGAACCCAGTTAGGCCTAGTATCTCATTGTTAGGCTTATTACCTAGGATGTTGAAAAAATTTTTTCAAAAACATTGAAGGTAAAGCTTTGTTGAGGTTTTCATGTTCCTTGTTGAGAATTGTGGATTCCTGCCAGAGAGCCAAAGATTCTCAAATGGACCTACCAGTTGTTTCTGTTTCTTTATCATCCTCGTCATAATTGTTGAGCCTCATGCTTTCACTCCCCATTTATTTAAGATCCCTTTATTTTCTTTAGGCTTGAACCCTTCTTTTTTGTTATTGTTAAATGGCAAACAACCTTCATCCTCTGTTGAAAACTGTTAGCTCTTGTAAAACATCTGGCCCCATAAGTAGGATGTGGGAATAAGGTCTGTGACTTCAGGGATCCAATGTATATATTCTCTTATTCAATTCTACATTTTCTTGAATGCTCTAGTTTTTCAGAATTCTTTTAATAGTATAGCCTCCTGTGATTCTACCAACTCTCTAATACTACCAAGGTTTGTTCACCATTAAAATTCTTCCCCTCTCAAGTTAATCTAAGCCAGTGGTGGCCAACACATGGCCTACAAGGCCCTAACCCGCAATAAATACCCTCAGGTTTCCTTAAAATAGTCTCCTACAATACTAGTGCCTGCATGTGGCCCACAATGGCTGTGAGAGTGAGCTATGTGGCCCCCTAGCCAAAAAAGGTTGGGCACCACTGATCTAAGCTATCTGACATTAGGGTTTGTATTATGATAATACTCACTCTAACACAGAGGCACAGGCCTTTGTTGAAGTTGGAGGAGGTGGAACATGAAACAAACAAGCTAAAGGTCAAATGGAAAATTAAGGTAGTTCTTGAACCACCAGATTTGAATGCCCCCTATAGTTTCTTCTATAGCACTTGGCTTCAAAACTTCAATTAAATTCTCAGAGACATAACACAATAGGTTGAGGACTGCCAATCAGAATTCTGAATGTCATTGAGGTCTGGAAATTTGAGCTCCCAGTTATCACGTGTTAAACCATAGAAAAATAGCAGATGGCTCCCTTGACAGTTTGTAATTGTAGTCAAACAGCAAGATTGGGATTGGCCCTATCATTCGATGCCTCAACCAAGAACAAGCACAAATATTGCTATGTATGAGGTGCATTCTAATAGTTCCAATTTTCAGTTTAAAAAAAAGAGCCTTAATTAGTAAAGTGAGATATCATTTGTCATATTTTTTCATTATATGTTTGCTATGTGTCCTTTAATTTTCATGCTAATCTGGTGGTACTTTATGCAGAAAAAATATTGATATATTTGTATGACACAAAATATAAGTACCTCAGTTTAGTGATGAAGAAAAAGGGGGTTGTGATCTATTTCATGCTCTTACAGGTGAAGGAAGCAGTGGACATTCATACTGAACTAGTAGTTTATGAGCATTCTCCAGATACTTATGTTCAAAAAGATCCAAAAAATTAATAGTTTCCAGACAGACTGTTTTGGGCTTTGTGATTTTTCTTGTATGGGTAGCAAACATTTCAATGACATTTGTTGCCCTTTTTTTTCCATAAGTGGATCTAAAGTTGTCATTTGGGGAGTGACAATTTACTCAGTGATTCTGAAATATGAGCTAATTTTAAACAATGTGTATTGATGTTTTAGAGAAAAAAATAAACAATCATACCTTTTTCAATGCAC